GGGTCTCTCCCAAGCCCTAGTCCGACACTGACCATTGCACTACCTCTGGAGACTTCTGCAAGTTTTGGGGAGGAGGAGGAAGTCCCCAGCCTTGCTTGGAGGGGTTGCATGCATGCATGCCAGTGGGGCAGAGTGGTGAGACGTGGGTTCAAATCCCCCACTCAGCTCCCTGGGCTGGGGGGCCAGTCACTCACTGCCTTTCAGCCTGGCCCACCTCACAGGGTTGGTGCGATGATAAAACGGGGAGGAGCAGGAGAACCACGTGAACCGTCTTCAGCACCTTGGAAGAAAAAGTGGCATGTTGTTGTTTAGTTGTGTCCGACTCTAAGTGACCCCCTGGACCAGAGCACGCCAGGCACTCCTGTCTTCCACTGCCTCCCACAGTTTGGTCAAACTCATGCTGGTAGCTTCGAGAACACGGTCCAGCCATCTCTTCCTCTGTCGTCCCCTTCTCCTTGTGCCCTCCATCTTTCCCAACATCAGGGTCTTTTCCAGGGAGTCTTCTCTTCTCATGAGGTGGCCAAAGTCTTGGAGCCTCCGCTTCAGGATCTGTCCCTTCCAGTGAGCACTCAGGGCTGATTTCCTTCAGAATGGAGAGGTTGGATCTTCTTGCAGTCCATGGGACTCTCCAGAGTCTCCTCCAGCACCAGAATTCAAAAGCATCCATTCTTCGGCAACCAGCCTTCTTTATGGTCCAGCTCTCACTTCCATACATCACTACTGGGAAAACCATGGTTTTAACTATACGGACCTTTGTTGGCAAGGTGATGTCTCTGCTTCTTAAGATGCTGTCTAGGTTTTTCATTGCTTTTCTCCCAAGAAACAGGCGTCTTTTAATTTTGTGGCTGCTGTCACCATCTGCAGTGATCAGGGAGCCCAAGAAAGTAAAATCTCTCACTGCCTCCATTTCTTCCCCTTCTATTTGCCAGGAGGTGATGGGACCAGTGGCCATGATCTTCGTTTTTTTGATGTTGCGCTTCAGACCATATTTTGCGCTCTCCTCTTTCACCCTCATTAAAAGGTTCTTTAATTCCTCCTCACTTTTGCCATCAAGGTTGTGTCATCTGCATATCTGAGGTTGTTGATATTTCTTCTGGCAATCTTACAAATGTAATAAATAAAGGGAGCTACAGAGCTGCAGCCTTGGGGAAATTGTAGTTGCGTTTATTTATTTATATCATTAAGTGCACTGCATTGCGTTTATTTATTTATAAATAACTGCATTGCGTTTATTTATTTATATCATTAAGTGCACTTCCAGGCTCTCTGAAGGCGCCTCCCATGTGTTATGGAGCTACGGATGAAGGGTGGTATTCAAATTTAATAATAATAATAATAATAATAATAATAATAATAAATTATACATATTTATTTGCCCCATGCAATCCCGGCTCCAGGTTCTGTTCCCCAAAGAAAAGGGACTCAAGATGCTCGTCTCCGCCCCACTCCATCTATGGCTGCCCCCTCTTAAGTCTTGATTTACTTCATTTAGCCCCCACCCCATACACACACACTCAGGGTCAACTGAAAGCCGGAAGTGTAGCTTCTACCCCCGCGGAGTCCTTGACCCATCCTCTTGGTGCTGAGCGAATTTTCGTGTGACCAGAGTCGGCAGATTGCGCAAGGGAATCCGGGCGGCTCTTTTCGGCGCAGCGACCCCTACAGGGTGGAGGGGGAACATGTCGCTGTTATTGTTCCAAGAAGCACAGAATGTGTAGGGACCTCCAGGGTCATCTAGTCCGACCCCCTGCAATGCGGGAATCCCAATGATAAAACCCTATACAGCTTAGGTCCAGGCTATCTGAAAGAACTCTCCTACAAACCTACCCAAGGTCTGAAATCTCTGGGGAAGGCCCTTCTCTCCCTGGCTTCTCTGTGGTGGCTGTTCCAAGACAACTTCGGAACTCCCTGCCACAAGAAACCAGGCTGCCTCCCTCCATGTCCTTCCGGCAACAGGCGAAGACCTTATTCCAACAGGCTTTTAGGAACAGACTGTTTTCAAGGAAAAGGCATGCACTGCAATGTTTTTATTGTTGTTCATATATATCCCTTCCATATATATAGATCACTTCCAATTCTGCGATGTACATTTTTTGTTTCTTCAGCGTGTAAACCGCCTTGAGTATTGTGAGATAGAAAGGCGGTATACAAATTAAAAATGATGTTGATGATGGGGAAGGGCACTTGAGGGGTGAATCAGACTTTGGGTAGCTGATAACCACTGGACTGAAGTCATCTGTTTTGTGGGATTAATAATAATAATAATAATCTATTATTTATACCCCACCCATCTGGCTGGGTCTCCCCAGCCACCCTGGGCGGCTTCCAATACAGTAATGCATCAAACATTAAAAGCTTCCCTAAACAGGGCCGCCTTCAGATGTCTTCTAAAAGTCAGATAGTTGTTCATTTCCTTGACATCCGATGGGAGGCCGTTCGACAGGGCGGGGGCCACCACCAAGAAGGCCCTCTGCCTGGTTCCCTGTAACTTGGCTTCTCACAGGGAGGGAACCGCCAGAAGGCCCTCGGCGCTGGACCTCAGTGTCCGGGCAGAATGATGGGGGTGAAGACGCTACTTCAGATATACTTAATGGAACTAAAAAATTTAATTAGATTTTGAAGCGATGCAGAGTTTTGCATGTGTTATTGTTTTCCCGAGTGGGTCGTGCAAACCAAGGGGAACCAAGGGGGCAGAGGGCCAAATAGTCTTGGAAATCACTTAAGAAATGGGGGGGGGGTCCCTGATCAGCTCCTGAAACACCAGCAAGGGGGGTGGGCCGTATCCAGGCAGAGGCATCTCCCTGCCCTTGCCGGGGCCAGAAGGGCTTGTGGGTGGCGCTTGAGGCATCCTTCCCCCCCCCCACTGAATCTCCTCCTCTTACTGAACAAGGATGTCATTGAGTCAACTGGAAAGTCCCTTGGACGAAGGCCGTTCTCACAAAAGAGCTGTTTATTCTGAGATGAGCTCAGCCGCCCACAACAAACGGGGTGCAAAGCGCCTCGGATTCTGCAGGGCGTTAAGGAGAGAGCCCAAGGTCTCACAGGGGCGAAGCGAGCCGGATTCTGCATCAAAAAGAGCGGAGTTCGCCATTGCAGAGTTGGAAGGGACCCCCAAGTTCATCTAGTCCAACCCGCTGCAAGGCAGCTAAATTATGCAAACGCACATGTATTAAGTCAGTCAAATAGCCATGGGCTAGAGATGCGGGTGGCACTGTGGTCTAAACCACAGAGCCTAGGGCTTGCCGATCAGAAGGCTGGCGGTTCAAATCCCCGTGATGGGATGAGCTCCCGTTGCTCGGTCCCTGCTCCTGCCAACCTAGCAGGTCAAAGTGCAAGTAGATAAATAGGTACCACTCCGGCGGGAAGGTAAACGGCGTTTCCGTGCGCTGCTTTGGTTTGCCAGAAGTGGCTTTGTCATGCTGGCCACATGACCCGGAAGCTGTCTGCGGACAAACGCCAGCTCCCTCAGCCTATACAGCGAGATGAGCGCGCAACCCTAGAGTCGTCCACAATTGGACCTAATGGTCAGGGGTACCTTTGCCTTTAGGGGCTTCTGCCCCCTGCCCGCCAACCCCACCAATCCCTTTGCCAACCCCCGTTCCCCCACACTTTATCCACTCCCTCAGCTATCCCCTCCCAGCTCGCCCAAACCTCCCCTCCTGCTCCCTTCACAGTTTTGCCCCTTTGCTCTCTGAAGTGGATCCCACCCTCCTTTAAACAGGTCACTTGGGCTGCCCGTACGACTTGCTCACTCGCTCACGCGCCTAGCTGCCATTCTGCTATGCTGGAGTTGGTGCTGCCACCTATTGGTGACTAGGGGAACTGCAGTGTGACAGCAGTCTTGTCATTTTGTTGTATGGTAAGATTTACAGTCACGAAGAGACGGACATGACTAAACGACTAAACAACAACAACCGTATTGGCCCGAATATAAGCCACACCTTTTTTCCAATTTCGGACCCTGAAAAGTTAAAGTGCAGTTTATATTCGCGACTTTTTACCATATGCTGCTGAAAACAGCTGGGGAGCTTATATTCGGGCCAATATGGTACTACCTAATTGGGTTTCTGAAGCCTTACTGCTAATAGCTTTGAAACTGGCTTATTGTTTTCGTATTCATAAATCGCTTTTTAAAGTAATTTCGCAGTAACATGGGCAGCTGCCTGATATAGTCATACCTTGGGTTGAAGTAGCTTCAGGATAAGTATTTTTGGGTTGCGCACTGCGGCGATCAGGAAGTAACGGAGCGTGTTACTTCCGGGTTTCGCCGCTCGCGCATGCGCAGATGGTCAAAATGACGTCACGCATGTGCGCAGAAGCCGCGAATCGCAACCCGCGCACACACAGACGCGTGGACGCGGGTTGCGTTTGCTTCTGGATGCGAATGGGGCTCCGGAACGGATCCCGTTCGCATCCAGAGGTACCACTGTACAGGGTCAGACTACTGGCCCACACTGACCAACAGCAACAATCCAAGGATTCAGATGGGGTCCTTTGTAAATAAACCTGGCAAATCCACCGCAGACTCAACCGGGGACCTTCCGCAACGAAAGCAGAAGCTCTACCACTGAGCAATGACCTGTGTTACGTTTTATTGTCTCAAGTTGCTAGCCATTATGAATTTAAAAATTAAATTAAAAGTGAGGCATTACCTCCACCCACCCACCCACCACAATGAAACAATCCTCCCTGGCAGATTCGTTAACTACGAACTGCTACAGAAGAGGGAGCAAGCTTGTCTTCTCCTGCTCTGGAGGGTAGGACTCGAATCCATGGCTTCCCATTTTTGCTGCGAAACAACCGCAAAACTTTTGAGGGGATCCCAGATTTTGGGGTTCGTCATTAACGAAGCCCTCCCCAGCCCCCTTTGCAGCTGCAGAGTTGGGAGAAAGATCAAGGATTCAGAACCGAGGTCCACAAAACCTTTTTAGAAAAGGCACGGAGCTGAAGGCGCCAACCCTCTAAGGAATTGTTTGAAGCAAGACACCGAGACAGCCGTCAAGTGGGTTTGAGAATGACACTTTAACATCAAGACTTAGCAAATGAAACAAGGAGGACCAGTTTCGTTTCTTCGGCCTCGGCCAACGTCGAGAAAGTCGGCAGAAATCTCAATTTCCCCCCTTTTCGAAGAAACAAAATTGGTAACAGAACCCTCTCCGAGCCGCAGGCTTCGTTTTCCATCTCCAGCTCTGGCGACCGCAACGGTTCAGTCCACAACTGCTTCCCCAGCCTGCATCCCACTAAGTCCCAGCACCGGGCGCCCTGGCAGTGCCCAAAGCAGGTGTTTAAGGGGGGAACCGCTCCTGCCTGAGGCGAGGGGCACCGCCGGCCTCTGCCCGCATCTTCGCCCTGCCCCACTGGCTCCGGAGAGGCCTCTGTCCCGAAGGGCCGTCCAGCCAGGGATCTCCGCCTTCGTGGAGCCGCTGGTGCCCGACGAGGTGTTGCTTGCGGGTGAAGCTCTTCTGGCAAAGGGGGCACTGGTACGGCCGCTCGCCGGTGTGCAGCCGCCCGTGAGTGGCGAGGTGCTCCTTGCGGATGAAGGTCTTGCCGCACTCGCCGCAGGCGTACGGCCGCTCGCCCGTGTGGATCATCTGGTGGCGCAGGAAATTGGAGTGGTGGTTGAAGCTGCGCCCGCACTCGCCGCAGATATAGGAGCCCGCCTTCGCCGCCAGGCCTGCCGCGGCCGCCGCGTGGCTCCGCTGGTGCAGACGGAGATTTATCTTCAGGCGGAAGCTTTTGTTGCACTCGGAGCATGTGTGGGGCCGCTCGCCCGAGTGCCACAGCCGGTGCTTGCTGAGGCTCGCCTGGTGAGGGAAGCAGCGCCCGCACTCGGGGCAGGGGTACGCCTCGCCCCCCGGCCGCAGGCTCGAGGCGGGGCTCCCTTCAGGGGAGTCTCGAGGGTGCGTCCGCTGGTGCAGGGCGCGCTGCTCCTCGTACAGGAAGCTCTTCCCGCAGTCGGCACAGACGTACGGGGCCTCGCCAGGGAGGGCCCCCTCGGGCACGATGATGGTGGTGAAGTCTGCAAAGTCGCTCCCACATGCGGCCGGCTCCTCTAGGCTGCCTCCGGAAGTCTGCCCGTCCACGCATGCCAGGCCCTCCTCGGGGATGTGGAAGACAGCCTGGTCCAAGGCCTCTGGCAATGCGCTGTACTGCGCCAGGTCCCCGGGCCTCACCTCTGGCCTGGCAGGCACCTGGGCAAAGAGGGTGGCATCTGTGGGGAGAGGGAAACCAGGTCAGAGGCGGAACGAGTTTGGAAAAACAAATTTTCCAGCTGTTACTGGGATGGTGATGACGGGGTGTGGGGTGAATTCATTTCCCCCAACTTTGCAGCAACAAAAGAATGTAAGAACCTATGGCCTGCCTAGTCCAGCGTTCTGTTCTCGCAGTAGCCAACCAGAAGCAATCAGGATTCGAACACAAGACCCGTCTCATCCTGCAGTTTCCAGCCACTTGGATTCAGACGCAATGCCACCTCTGACTGTGGAGGCAGACCAAAGTGATCCTGGCTAGTAGCCATCGATAGCATTCTATACAAGTTAATCAAAGTGGTTTCCTGCACTCCTTGGTCAGTGTTTTTTGTCCAGGTCTTACATGGCTGCGGTCCATATTTTTAATTAGCATCTATTTGCTCCTGCCGCCTCTAGCCAGCTGATGCACTAAGCCTGCACAGGACGTTGATCAGCCACAGGGACATTTTGCCAAGAGGGGACAAGGTGGGTCTGGATTCCCCTCTTCAGAGGCACACAGGCCTCCATTGGGAACTCACCTGGGCTTTCATCTGGGGGCGCCCCGCTTTCTCCCGAATCCCACTCGCCCACTACCGAAGGAACAATTTCCCGCTGGACAAGAGAGACAGTGTCATTTCTGGGTGCAGGGAATTCTGCATGCAAAGAGGGAAAAAGGACATTAATTGATTTCCCCATGCCCATACATCGCGTTTTGTTTTGCTCAAAGCAACTTACAATATTTCAAATCAGCCTTCCTCGGGCCTCCAGATGTTTTGAGACTACAATTCCCATCATCCCTGACCACTGGTCCTGCTGGCTAGGGATCATGGGAGTTGTAGGCCATTTTTTTTAAAAAAAAAGAATATAAACTACAATTCTGCTTAAAAGCAGATTAAACATCCCACACACAAAAAAGACAATAGAAAAGCCAATGACCTGATGAAAAAGGAATGTTTTTGCCCGGAGCTGAAAGATATGTAATGGTGGCAACAGGCAACACTCCCTGAGAGAGCATTTCACAAATGGGGAGCTACCACTGAAAAGGCCCCGTTCTCGTCTTGCCACCCTACGGACCTCTCGCTGAGCGATCACACGAAGGAGGGCCTCAGATGACAATAAACTTTATCCCGGGATAAATCTTCCTTGTGGCTACGTCAATGGTAGACCAGACTAGTAAGGCGACAGATGGTTTTATATCAAAATCTCCAGTTCCAAGAAAGGGAAACCAAATGCTCTGCTAAGCCTCACACTAAGAAGTTGCAGCAGGAGTTGGGAACCTTTGCCAGTTCATTGGCTGCATTTCCTTCTGGACAACTATGCCAGGCAGAGGCAAACTCCGGCCCTCCAGATGTTTGGGACTACAATTCCCATCATCCCTGACCACCGGTCCTGTTAGCCAGGGATGATGGGAAATGTAGTCCCAAACATCTGGAGGGCCAAGTTTGCCTATGCCTGAACTATGCCAATGAATCTTCATTGAGTTTTAAAATTTATTTTAACAAATGAACATCAGATTTAGCATCAGATTTAATACATAATTCAAAAGTCAACTTCCCACCATTCTAAGCTGCATTCCACTTTTATCCATTCCACAATTCTTTTCATTACTATTACAGTTGTACCTTGGAAGTCGAATGGAATGCATTCTGGAAGTCGAGATAGGAAGCTTCAGAACCTCCAGGTAAATTGACCAATAAGGGTTTAATCAATTGGTTCCATGATTTCCCCCTTCCCAGCTCACGGAGGGAAGGAATCCCAACTCTCTTAACCCACCTGGGCCGATGCTTCTAGGAGCCTCTTCGTCCTCAGCTGCCTGCTCCTGCCCCCCTTCGATCCGGGTTAGCAGGTCGGGCTTGGCAATGGCGTAATCTGAGGAGGAGAAGAAGAAGAAGAGGAGGAGGAGTTTGGATTTGATATCCCGCCTTTCACTCCCCTTCAGGAGTCTCAAAGCGGCTCACATTCTCCTTTCCCTTCCTCCCCCACAACAAACACTCTGGGAGGTGAGTGGGGCTGAGAGACTTCGAAGAAGTGTGACTGGCCCAAGGTCACCCAACAGCTGCAGGTGGAGGAGCGGGGAATCAAACCCGGTTCACCAGATTACGAGTCCACCGCTCTTAACCACTACACCACACTGGCTCTTCCTCTCATAAGGGGTGATATGATAGCCATGTTCAAATATATAAAAGGATGTCATATAGAGGAGGGAGAAAGGTTGTTTTCTGCTGCTCCAGAGAAGCGGACACGGAGCAATGGATCCAAACTAAGAAAGAAGATTCCACCTAAACATTAGGAAGAACTTCCTGACAGTAAGAGCTGTTTGACAGTGGAATTTGCTGCCAAGGAGTGTGGTGGAGTCTCCTTCTTTGGAGGTCTTTAAGCAGAGGCTTGACAACCATATGTCAGGAGTGCTCTGATGGCGTTTCCTGCTTGGCAGGGGGTTGGACTCGATGGCCCTTGGGGTCTCTTCCAACTCTATGATTCTATGATTCATACCGGAGGAAGGGAAGAAAGGCAAGACCAAAGAATTACCATATTTTTCGCTCCATAAGACGCACCTGACTATAAGATGCACCTAGTTTTTAGAGGAGGAAAGGGGGAAAGCCCTGTTTTTTGGGCGATCAGCTCACAGTTGCGCGACTTCTTTTGCAAAGGGGGAAAGCCCTGTTTTTTGAGGATCAGCTCAAAGTTGTTGAGCTTACTTTGCAAAGGGGGAAAAAATCCTGTTTTTATGGGGTTCAACTCACAGTTCTGCAGCTTCTTTAGGAAAGGAAAGGGAGCCGTTTCTACAGTTTCCAGACAGATAATCTGATCAGCCAGTCACATGCCTCTGGGGAAACAAACAGCCTCCGCCTGCAGAACATTCAACCATGGAGGCCTGGGCAAGGGAGCCAGCGACCAACCACACATTCGCTCCATAAGACGCACAGACATTTCCCCTTACTTTTTAGGTGGAAAAAAGTGCGTCTTATGGAGCGAAAAATACGGTACTTATCCCATGACGGTCCTCAGAGAGAACGGGGCACCCTAAGGTTTCTAAGGGTTATGTATTCCTTCTCAAATCAAGATTTCTAGCCCTCATGTTTACTGACAAAACCTGGCAGGATCTGGAGGCTTTGCAGTGACCCAAGCAAGGGCTAGTGTTGGCTACTAGCCGTAATGGCTCCGCTCTGCTGCCACAGTCTGTGGGAAACCTACAAGCAGGATTCGAACACAAGAGCCCTCTCGCCTCCTGCGGTTCCCAGCAACTGATATTCCAAAGGATTTCTGCCTACGGCCGCGCAGGAAAGAGCGTAGCCATCATGGATGGGAGCCATCGACAGCCTGCGCCGCCTCCGCGAATTTGTCAAATCCCAACTTTGGGAAAATATATATTAACAAAGCTGTATTCGACGGATGAAAGCACATGATGTTTGACATGGCTGAGAATAGTGGACCCAGGGACAAAGAATTATGAAGCGTTTAAATCGAGATGTGGAATATATGGAAACAACAGGGAGAAGCAGGACTAAGATGTGGAGATTTGCTTCAGAGCTCCGAAAAATTAATAAATATAATTTGGACTATAATTTGGTCTTTTTTATTTTAGTTTTTTATTTTAATTGAAGTATTATGGTTGGATATATTCATTGGATTTTTTTTATTGGAAAATCAATAAAAATGATTTTTTTAAAAAGAGAATTTGTCAAATCCTCTTGTACAGCCCTCCCAAGTTGGTGGCCATTTCTGACTCCTGTGGCAGGGAGTTCCACAGTTTAACTAGGAGCTGCGTGAAGAAGGATTTCTTCTTTTTTTTCTGCCCTGAATCTTACGACAACCGGCTTTGTTGCTTTAGGGTTCTCTTTACCCAGTGAGACCAGAGACTCGTAGTTCCCCTTCATGACGTTCTTGTAGAGCTCCCTCTGGTCTTCGTCCAGGTTCCCCCATTCTTCCTCCGAGAAGCAGACAGAGACCTCGTCGAAGGTCACCGGCACCTGGGAGGGCATGTAAAACGAACGAATGAATAAATAAATGGTGACGCCTTCATTATACACCTTTAGGCGCCAGGCAAATATGTTCTTTTTTAAACAGGCCTTTGGCTGATCTGAGGGACATCCTATGCCCTTTTAAAATGTGGGGTTTTTTGTGGGGGGGGGACTATTGGGTTGTTGTTTTTATTTTTATTATGTATTTTGTGGTTTTATATCTTGATTTTATTCTGTGAACCCCAGGTATAAGGCGGTATATAAATTTAAGAAATAAAACAACCAGCCACGGCCTGGTTGAAAGAGGAATGAAGGGGCAAGATAAGCCTCCCTGAGGAGAGCTGTCACCATGGATGAGTTGTGAGTGTTCAGCGAAGATAAGAGTCCGGGAATCCAGCCATATTTAAAGGTAAAGGTACCCCATCCCGTACGGGCCAGTCTTGACAGACTCTAGGGTTGTGCGCCCATCTCACTCTATAGGCTGGGGGCCAGCGCTGTCCGCAGACACTTCCGGGTCACGTGGCCAGCGTGACATCGCTGCTCTGGCGAGCCAGAGCCGCACACGGAAACGCCGTTTACCTTCCCGCTAGTAAGCGGTCCCTATTTATCTACTTGCACCCGAGGGTGCTTTCGAACTGCTAGGTTGGCAGGCGCTGGGACCGAGCAACGGGAGCGCACCCCGCCACGGGGATTCGAACCGCCGACCTTTCGATCGGCAAGCCCTAGGCGCTGAGGTTTTACCCACAGCGCCACCCGCGTCCCTCCCCAGCCATATTTACAAAGGATTTATTGCCTCTTTGAAGCTGTTTACAGAGCAGTTCAAAAGTACAACTCAATCATGGTCGGATAGTTGTCCCGACTGTTTTGCTTTCGTTTTTTGGCCACCAGAGCCACCTCCAAAGCCCAGCCCCCCTCCTTCCAGTTCCCTGACAAGAGCATTTTCCAAACGGGGAGCCACTGCAGAAAAGGCCCTGTTCTTGTGTTGCCACCCTCCGGACCCCTCAGGGAGAGGGCCTCTGATGACAATCACAGGGTCCAGTTTGGTTCAAATGGAGCAGGTTCATTCGAACCACACTGGCTCTCTTGTGCTAACCCAATAAGGCAGATTACTTGGGGAACTCCCCGCAGCAGGAAACACTGAGGTCCAGCTCTGAGGGCCTCATGGCGGTTCCCTCGCTGTGAGAAGCAAGGTTACAGGGAACCAGGCATAGGGCCTTCTCAGTAGTGGCGCCCGCCCTGTAGAATGCCCTCCCATCAGATGTCAAAGAAATAAACAACTACCTGACTTTTAGAAGACATCTGAAAGCAGCCGTGTTTAGGGAAGTTTTTAATATTTGATGTTTTATTCTGCTTTTAATCTGTTGGGAGCTGCCCAGAGTGGCTGGGGAAACACAGCAGAATGGGTGGGGTATAATTATTATTATTATTATTATTATTATTATCACCATCATCCCTGTAATAACCTGGCAATAACCACTGCAATCTTATTCCACCAGTGGACGCTCGGGTTGCGAACCTGATCTGTGCAGGATGCACGTTCGCAACCCGCAGCTGCGCGTCTGCGCACGCGCGGGTTGCAATTCGGCGCTTCTGCGCATGCGCGACCGCCGAAACCCGGAAGTAACCCGTTCCGGTACTTCCAGGTTTCAGAGCGTCCATAACCTGAAAAAACGCAACCTGAAGCGTCTATAACCCGAGGTATGACTGTACAGTGGTACCTCTGGTTACATACTTAATTCATTCTGGAGGTCCATTCTTAACCTGAAACTGTTCTTAACCTGAAGCACCACTTTAGCTAATGGGGCCTCCTGCTGCTGCTGTGCCGCCAGAGCACGATTTCTGTTCTCATCCTGAAGCAAAGTTCTTAACCCGAGGTACTATTTCTGGGTTAGCGGAGTCTGTAACCTGAAGTGTATGTAACCCGAGGTACCACTGTATTCGGATGGGAGCCGCCCAGAGTGGCTGGGGAGACCCAGCCAGATGGGCAGGGTACAAATAATAAATCATTATTATATCACCAGAAGCCTCTGGCTATACATAGCTCTTCCCCTGGATGAAGCTCTACCTCTGTGCAAATCCCCGCTGCTTACCTTGGGGGTTTCCCCCCTGGACCCTGGGGGCAGGCGGAGGATCCAGAAGTTTCGGTTCTTGAGCAGGTTCTCCATGTTCTCCAGCCTCCTCTGGAGCTGCCCGTATTCCTGGATGAGGGTCCCCAGCGCGTCCAGGTGGTGGCTGAACTCCGCCATGGCTTTCTCCGTCCCGGAAAGCTTCTTCTCGGCCAGACCCGCCCTCCGCTCCAGCGCCAGCAGCCGCCCAGCGTGGACGTCCACCTTCCTCTCCACCGCTTGCATGGCGGCCACCACCGTCCAGAGGGAGATCTCAGCGGCCGGCCGGCCGGCGGCATCGCCGCAGCTCCGCTTGGGGAGGAAGCAAGGGTGCACTGGGGTGGGCTGAAGGGGTCCCCTGCCCCATTCCAAGCCCTGCTGGCAAAGACAGGAAGGGAAGATACTCAGAGGCAGCGGCAGGATCATAGCTGTCAACCGTCCCTTATTTGGCGGGAAACTCCCTTATCCCAGCGCCGTGTCCCACTGCTGTCCCTTACTGATAAAGGTAAAGGGACCCCTGACCATTAGGTCCAGTCGTGGCGGACTCTGGGGTTGCGGCGCTCATCTCGTTTTACTGGCCGAGGGAGCCGGCGTACAGCTTCCGGGTCATGTGGCCAGCATGACTAATCCGCTTCTGGCGAACCAGAGCAGCGCACGGAAACACCGTTTACCTTCCCGCCAGAGCAGTACCTATTTATCTACTTGCACTTTGATGTGCTTTCGAACTGCTAGGTTGGCCCGAGCAGGGACTGAGCAATGAGAGCTCACCCTGTCGCGGGGATTCGAACCACCAACCTTCTGATCAGCAAGTCCTAGGCTCTGTGGTTTAACCCACAGCGCCACCCCCACCCCTCCCTTATTGATGATGTCCCTTAAATTTCCAGGGTTTCATGCTCGCCCGGCTTGGGAGGGAAGCAGCGGCTCGGGGTCCTCCGCCGTGAGAGAGAGCACACGCATGAGCTGCCGCGTCTCAGTCTCTCCCTTTTCCCCCTCAGGGGCACGTCGTGAGGAGACGGGTGGCGGCGGTAGGCGGGCAGGCAGCCCCTCTCTTGCGAGATTTCCGCCGTGCTGCCAGGGGAAGCTGGAGATGGCAGCGGCGGCTGAGGAGGTGGCCTGAGGGAGATGGAAGAGGAGGGGATGGGGAGGAACGCAGAAGGGCGGTGCTTCAGCGGCCACGGTGGCGCCGCAACCACCTCATGCCGGGCTGGTGGGCGGCGTGGGCAAGAGTCTCTGTCCCTCCCTCCCTCCCTCTCCCTCTCGGGCAGGGAAGGGCCGATGGAACTCCTCGCGCCAGGATGACGGCAGCCCCGACGTGCTGCTTAGCATCCCCTCCAACCAGTGCAGCATCTTAATGTAGTGATTTCCCCTTCTGCATCCCTTTCATAACTCTAGTTTTATAAATCATGTGTCCATCCATAGTTCAAATTTTTACTACAACTTTTCTGTCAATCCTACCAATGTATGTAACTCTTTACAATAGCTTTTCAACTAAATTATAAACTTTCCCCATTCTTTATTAAAGAGGTCCTCTTCCTGGTTTCTAATTCGGCCTGTAAGCTTTGCCATCTGGACGTCGTTCATCAGTTTTGTCTGCCCCTCTTCTTTGGTCGGAGCTGTAGACCCTTAGGATCATCTAGTCCAACCCCCTGCAAAACACAGGCAGTGGCAGCCAAAGCAGCATGGCTCCATCAGTGCCGGATTTCTTAACCTGAAACTGTTCTTAACCTGAAGCACCACTTTAGCTAATGGGGCCTTATTTTCATCCCTTATTTTCAAGGCTGCTGGTCCCTTATTTTCAAATCTGTAAGTTGACAGCTATGGGCAGAATCAAACGACAGTTACGTAATGGAGGAAAAAACTGAATAATATTATAATTTTAGAATACCTAACTGTGAAGATACATAGAATGAAAGGTCAGTGAGAAAGGGGAGGATTGGTTTGAGAAGATATTGAATGATTTGAGCAGGTTTGAACAATTTGGCAATTAAAATGTTAAAATTTAAGGAATATTTAGCCAAATATTATAATACAACCTAAGCTGCAATGCTTGCAAGTACCAAACTGGCCTAGGATTAAAATATGTTGAATCGTATAATGGTATGGATTGAGAAACTATGAAAAGGAAGGAAGATAGTAATTTGAATAAGTTGATTTTATTAGAAAGTGGATATTGGAAAATTGCTACAATGAGACTGAATGAAACTCAGTTAGGGAGGATTCGAGGAAGTCACTTAACCATGGAAATCAAATTGGATTTTTAATAGTAAGATGTTTTATATGTTTGTTTGTTATTCTTTTTTAATATGCTTTTTCTTTTGTGTGTGTTTGTCATAAGTTTGGAAAATTATTAAAAAATGGAAAAAATGTTAAAAGTTAAATAAACCTTGCGGAAGGAGGAGTGTTAAGGTTTATAGAAGTGTACATATGGTTAATTTGAATATGTTATTATTGAATATTATTGGCTATGTATTATGTATATTATTGAATATTGTATACTCAATGTATCAGCCGCCTGGGGGGGTTTCACTGTTTGTGTTTTGGTGGTTGGTAAAAAATGTTATACACACACACACACACACACACACAAAAAAACGACAGTTACAAAAAGGGCACCAAGGGTGTCAGAACTTTCCTCTCTCTTTTAAATCTTTTTCTATTCCCTTTTCTCTATCTCTTCCTTCCCTTTCTCCTCTCTCTCTTTTGCCTTTAAATTAACGCTTTATTTCGGAAAAAAGAAAAGATGTTGGATAATAATCTTAGTATTTTTCTTTACAAACCCTAATAAAAAAAATATTTTAAAAAAAGAAGAGTTCAGGCTTTTAAGAATTCGAATATCTAAAGGGCTGTCACGTGGAAGAAGGAGCAAGCTGGTTTTCTTCTGCTTTGTGTGGGGGACCTAGAGCAGTGGAGCCAATTCAAAATCTTTAAGGTCCCACATGGAACTGTGGAACTCCCTGCCCATTGAAATCAGGCAACTGTTTGGTCTAGGCAGGCCTATCCACACATGTGCAATGTTGACAGTGCCTATAATCTACTTTTTAGCTTTTTGCTGATTTTCATTATCATTCGTTTGAATGTTTTAAATAGCAGTTTTTTAAACTGTTATTCACTGAAATGTCAATGTTTTATTGTTTCTTTGAGCAGTTACAATCAAGTGGTATATAAACCTTGCGAAATAAATACTGTAAATAAAAACCAGCTGTTAGTTTTTGTTGCTACACTTATGAACGAGAGCCCGTTTCTAATTGCAGGAGAGGAGACAAAATTTGTTCTGGTGGTTCCCTTTTGAAAAGCGCATTTTCTCTGGCAATATAACCCTACGGTCACAGCTACTCAGGAGCCACATCCAAAGAGTTCAATGGGGCTTACTCCCAGGTAAGTGTGTCTATAGGATACCAGATTAAGTGACCTCTAAATTATACTGTCTGAGGGACGCGGGTGGCACTGTGGGTTAAACCACAGAGTCTAGGACTTGCTGATCAGAAGGTCAGTGGTTCGAATCCCCGATGCAGGGTGAGCTCCCGTTGCTCGGTCCCTGCTCCTGCCAACCTAGCAGTTCGAAAGCACGTCAAAGTGCAAGTAGATAAATAGGTACCACTCCAGCGGGAAGGTAAATGGCGTTTCCGTGCGCTGCTCTGGTTCGCCAGAAGCGGCTTAGTCATGCTGGCCACATGACCCGGAAGCTGTACGCCGGTTCCCTCGGCCAGTGAAGCGAGATGAGCACCACAACCCCAGAGTCGGCCATGACTGGACCTAACGGTCAGGGGTCCCTTTACCTTAAATTATACTGTTGGTTGTGTATATAGCAAAACTCAGTGTTTGTACTGTGTATTTTGGATCCACGGACTGGAATAAAGCGTTCTCTGTGTGTGTGAAAGCCACTGTGGTTCGGTGGTTACAGTGCTGGAATATGACCTGTGAGACCAGGGTTCGAATCTCTCCTCAGCTATGACGCTGACCTTGGACAGACCGCCTCTTCTCCAAGCCTACCTCCCAGGATTGTTGTGAGGATAAACTATATTATTATTATTATTATTATTATTATTATTATTATTATTATTATTATTTCCCCAGCCACTCTGGGCAGCTTCCAAACTGGGGAGGAGGAGAATTATGCATGCCACCATGGAAGAATTGCCTTGGAAGACGTAAATGTAGAATTTGCACAATTTGCAGCGCTTGAGTGTCTGCTCTTTCCGTGCCAAGGAGAAGGATGGAGAGAAAACGAGTGCCCCCCCAAAGGAGCCCCCACTCGCAGCCCCTGCCAGGAGCCGCCAGCAACCACCCAAGTCACCAACCATCCGGCGCTTTGTGCATGCTCCGCAGAAAGCACAAAAACAACCCCCAGCTTCTGGGAGCCCCTACACCAGGCACCCCCAAACTCGGCCCTCCAGCTGTTTTGGGACTACAACTCCCATCATCCTTAGCTAACAGGACCAGCGGTCAGGGATGATGGGAACTGTAGTCCCAAAACAGCTGGAGGGCATAGCTGTCAACTTTTCCCTTTTCTTGCAGGGAATCCTATTTGGAATAAGGGAATTTGTTCGGGGAAGTTTTTAATATTTAACGCTGTACTGTTTTTAACACTGGATTAGGAGCCGCCCAGAGTGGCTAGGGAAACTTAGCCAGATGGGCGGGGTAAAAATAAATTATTTATTTATTTTTATTATTATTATTATTATTATTATTATTATTATTATTATTATTATTATTATTATTATTATTATTATTTCCCTTGAAAAAAGGGAAACGTTGACAGCTGTGCTGGAGGACAGAGTTTGGGGACGCCTGCCCTACACCAAGGAAACGGAGAGAGGGGTGGTGGCAACGCAGGGATGCAGGGAAGACCTCCTCTCCCGGATCAGCCCCCCAAAACGCGCGCGCCTTTGGGGTCGTGCAGAGCGCGCGCGCGCCCCTGCCCCTTGCAATCCAGGAATGGAGGGCGGGGCGCGGGATTTCCCCGCAAACCTTGAGCCCCGGAGCCTTTTTTTCCTCCCCCCCCCCCCAAAAATTCCGCAATCCGTTTATTTGCAAGGAAAATTAACCCCTTCCTCCCCGCCCTACCTGCGCAGAAGGATCCCATTCAGCGGCCATCGCAAGCGGGCAGGTGGGCTGGATCCGTCCGGAGAAGCCGCCGGAAAGAAGGAAGGAGGGAAGGGAGGAGGGAAGCCCCGGAATCAGAAGGCGGAGGAAGGCGGAGAGGGGTCCGCCGTCCGCTGGGGGCAGAAGGGAAGAGGAGGAGCCGCGCACCCGCAGCAAAGGCAGGCGGGATGAAGCCAGACGGCGCCCGGTCGCCTCCATCCATCCATCCATCCATCCATCCATCCATCCTCCTGCGGGAGGCAGCGCAGACGCAGTCCCCACCTGGGTCGGCGAGGGATCAGCCAGCCCCAGTGGCTCCAGGAGGCGGAAGCACTCTGCACATGCTCGGGAGGGGTGCGCCCTGGCTTTCTACCCGGACACTGAGGTTCCCCTCGGGACTGCCGCCGCTCCGCAGGCATAGACCAGCTCCCCCGGGCACAGGACGGCTTGGGGGCAGCTCTGCTCTGTGCAGTCCCATGCCCCATTCACACAGACGCTGAAACACGGGTCAGGGGCAAGGAAATGTGAGTGAACCAGTGGAGGCGGTGAAGGTCCTGTGTGAGTGTCTGGAGGCGGTTGGAGGATGGATGGCGGCTAACAGATTGAGGTTGAATCCTGACAAGACAGCAGTACTGCTTTTGGGGGACAGGAGGCGGGCAGGTGTGTAGGACTCCCTGGTCCTGAATGGGGTCACTGTGCCCCTGAAGGACCAGGTGCGCAGCCTGGGAGTCATTCTGGACTCACAGCTGTCCATGGAGGCGCAGGTCAATTCTGTGTCCAGGTCTGCTGTCTGCCAGCTCCATCTGGTACGCAGGATGAGACCCTTCCTGCCTGCAGACTGTCTCACCAGTGTGGTGCATCCAACAAAATATTAAAATACAGTAATGCATCAAACATTAAAAGCTTCCCTGAACAGGCCTGCCTTCAGATGTCTTCTAAAAGTCTGGTAGTTGTTGTTCTCTTTGACATCTGGTGGGAGGGCGTTCCACAGGGCGGGAGCCACCCCCGAGAAGGCCCTCTGCCACCTTCCGAGGGAGTCTGCTCAACAGCTCTTACCTTATCTTCCTAATGTCTGGTCACAATCTCCTCCCTTGTCACTTGAATCTGTTGGTTTGGGTCCTCTTTCTCTGGAGCAGCAGGAAGCAAGCTTGCTCCATCTTCCATGGGACAGGCCTTCAGGTATTTGGCTATCATGTCACCTCTCGGACTTCCTTTCTCCAGGCTGGACATACCCAAACTTGCAGCTTTGCTCCATGTCCAGAGGTGGGAAGAAAACCCACAGAAATCCTGCAAATGCTTACCTGCATCTTCTGATCTCCTTCCCCAACTGGTTAGGACCACCCCAAAGCTGAGCACACCCTATTCTTTGAGACAGACTCTGGTCAAGCATGGTAAATGGTTCCAGGTGGGTCAGATCCTGCCTCATCAGTTCAGATTTGAGGAGAACACGTGAAAATAGGGAAATGCCCCACTCCAAAGAGAAGCATTGCAGGGGAGACTTATTAAATGGAGAACAGCTGGCAGCAAAGTTTGCACTTTATCCCCAAAAAAGGGGGGGGCTATTTCTGCAAATGCTGCCTTTAAAAGACATCATGCCAGTCCAGTGGTGCCCAAAAGTGGTACTGCTCCTTGGGGACTGGGATTATGTGGGGGGACACTAAGAGACGGGACGCACTGGAAGTGTAAATGACTAGCAGGCTTTGAAAAGCTGGTATCACTGGATCCAGTTCATCCATTTTGTTGACTTAATTAAACTATATAGTTGCAACTGAATGTGAAATTCTTACTGTTCTGAATTTTGTTGCGTTATCTTCATTAGTGGGTCGTGCAAACAACTATTCTGAATAATGCTTTTTATAGAGTGCCAGGCACATGGGGTGAGTTCATCCAACCAAGGGGGCCATGGCAATCTGGTGCCCTCCAGATGTTTAGGACTACACCTCCCATCAGCCCCAGCCAGAAGGTCCCGGACATGTCATGCTCTTCCAAGATGCATCTTCTTACATTCTTATTCTTTGTGTTACAAATGCACTTTTCGGAGGCTGCTTGTTCCCCGCTGCTCACAAATGAAATTCTCGCTCCCCTTGTAAGTCAAAGATGCTGCTTTAGTGTTGCTAACATTTTTGCAGGGGTGGGGGGTGGGGTGGGGGCTTTTTGGCAGGAACTAGGGCTGGGTGATAGGGACGCGGGTGGCGCTGTGGGTTTAACCACAGAGCCTAGGACTTGCTGATCAGAAGGTCGGCGGTTCGAATCCCCGCGACGGGGTGAGCTCCCATTGCTCGGTCCCTGCTCCTGCCCAGTTGGAAAGCACACCAAAAAGTGCAAGTAGACAAATAGGTACCGCTCCGGTGGGAAGGTAAACGGCGCTGCTCTGGTTAGCCAGAAGCGGCTTAGTCATCCTGGCCACATGACCTGGAAGCTGTCTGCGGACAAACGCCGGCTCCCTTGGCCAATAAAGCAAGATGAGCGCCGAAACCCCAGTCGGCCACTACTGGACCTAATGGTCAGGGGTCCCTTTACCTTTAGGACTGGGCGATATCTGGTTTTCAACATCACGATATATCACCAGCTAAGCATCGTGATGTGCCGATATACCAATATATCACGACATCTGAAATAAGGATGGAGCTGGTTTTCAACTTTGCGATATATCACCAGCTAAACATTGTGATATACTGATACATATTGCACAATGTCTGAAATAAGGATGGAGCTATGTAGAGGCCTTGGCTGGCTTCACAGTTTCCCCCACATTCCGATTTCTGCATAGCACACAAACCCACACAAACATCACGATTTGCAATATATTGCCAAGTCAAAAATTATGAAACCAATATCATGATACGGTCTTCAAACTAGTTTTAGATGATATAGGTAAAAGGTAAAGGACCCCTGGATGGTTAAGTCCAGTCAAAGACAACTATGGGGTTGTGGTGCTCATCTCGCATTCAGGCCAAGGGAGCCGGCGTTTGTCCACAAGCAGCTTTCTGGGTCACGTGGCCAGCAGGACTAAACCACTTCTGGTGCAACAGGACACCATGACGGAAACCAGAGCGCATGGAAACACCATTTACCTTCCCACTGCAGCGGTACCTATTTATCTACTTGCACTGGTGTGCTTTCGAACTGCTAGGTTGGCAGGAGCTGGGACAGAGCAACAGGAGCTCACCCTGTCGCAGGGATTTGAACCGCCGACCTTCTGATCGGCAAGCCCAAGAGGCTCAGTGGTTTAGACCACAGCCCGAGCTGTTTGCATTTGCATTCTTTTGAATTTGCATCATTGTATTTCGACGTTATCTGTTTATTCTTGGGAGCCTTTTTGGTTGAAAGGCGGGATATAAATAAACGGGAAAATAAACTAACGTAGCCTTTCATGTATGATGGACTTCCACAGTGTTAGCGTGATGTTAAAGGGCACCCAAGTTACTTGGTACGAGACCAGCCTACTCTTATCTTGGCCTCCCACCTCAGACCCTATTTGAGGCCTCCTACGCATGCCAGGACCTCAGAATTAATGCTGTCTCTGCAGCCTCGCAGCCGGCACTTGGAACTGCCGACACTCCGAGAAAAAATTCACCTGCGCCTGACCTGCTTTGGCAAGGCTTCATTTCCCGCAGCTACCCAGAGACGAGAGGGGCTTCGGAAGAGAGACACACTGTATTGACATATTTTGCAAAAGAAGGTGTTACAAAAAACCCCAAGAAAACGCAGCCACAGACAAAACACCCGACGTCACACGGAGGAATAGCTGGCTTGTTACAGTCACCTCAGCTGACATTTAGCTTAACGACACTGAAATTCATATATATATATATGTATATATATAATTCAACCAATATTTACAAAGATGCCTTCTGTAAAAAATATAATAATAATAATAATAATAATAATAATAATAATAATAATATAACAGCAATATAACAGCAAGACAACAGGGGACGGCAGTTCTCCAGATACCTTTGGGGTAAGAGAGGGAGAACTGGGAGACAGTTATGGGACAGGCGGCAAGTCCTGCGGGAACTTCATACGGCAAAACAACAGTACATGAGCTCTTGGCGTTGGGTTATAACAACCAGAATCCTGGTCGAAGCTGCTCTAGGACTCGTACAAACAGCCTTGGAGTGTGGCCAGATGCAGTTTGAGAAATTAAAACAAAGACAACCTCAAAAACCCACACACCTTTACTGACAACAATTAACTGGGAAAGGATGGTTTCGACTGGGCTCCACAAAGGTGCTTAACGGGGCAGGGTGCCCAATGGGGAGTAGGTTGGGGCGCAGGCAGGAAGCTTGCCCCTAGACTATTTGATGAAGTGTGGCCTGGCCTCCGGCGGGTCCACCTTCCCGGCTCCGGAAGCTCATCGTGTGGTGTGTGCGCGTGAGAGAGAGAGGGAGGAAGAACACAAACATCAGCCTCAATAAACAGTGACGAGACGGAAGAATGTCTTTGAGATTCTGGGTCCCTGTGGGCAAGGAGGGAGAAGCGGTGAATACTCAGCTGCCTCATCTTCACAGGAAAAACCGCAGAGAGCCAGTTCTCCACGAACGGCGGCAGCGCGGCAGGAAAGACTGCCTAAGTGCCGCTATCTGTGACCCACCCAGGCGGAAGCAGGGCTCCGAGTACGATGTCCCGGCCTTGCGCTCACCCCCGGCACAGCGCAGGAAGGGTAAGCGATGCTCTGATGGTCCACGAGAGGGAGCCCCTCCGCCACGTCCCGGCATGCCCTGGGACACTTGGGGGGCAAACCGGGAGGGAGGGGGGCAGCTGTTCTTCAGCATGCGGGGCACGGCCGACGCCGGCCAGAAGCAGAGGGCTTTGGGGACGGGGCCATCGCTAGGGTTGCTCTTGCTTCAAGGCCACCAGGCCGGCCTGCGCCCCCAGCCCCAGGTGGTGCGCCGCGGGGTTGCGGGTGTGGATTTTCTGGTGGCAGTTCAGGGACTCCTTGTAGCGGAAGTTCTTCCCGCAGGTGGCGCACTGGTAGGGGGTCTCCCCGGTGTGGACGCGCCAGTGCTTGAGGAGGTGGTCCCGGCGGATGAAGCTCTTCCCGCACTCGGTGCACTGGTAGGGCCTCTCGCCCGTGTGGATGCGCTGGTGCCGGACGGCCTTGGAGAGGTCCCGGAAGTCCTTGCCGCAGTAGGTGCACGTCAGCGGCCCGTCGCCCTTCCCTGTGTGCAGCTTCTGGTGGAGAAGAAGGCTCACCTCCAGTTTGAAGCTCTCCTTGCACTGGGTGCAGGTGTAGGGGCGCTCCACCATGTGGTTCCCGGGGCGCTTCCCGGCGCTGGGCTTGAGGGCGGGGCTCCTCTGGGGCTCGGGGCGTTTCGGGGGCTTGGGGCGCGCCGGCGTCGGGGCCCTCTGGAGAGGTAAGGGGCTCATCTTCAGCTTCAGGCCCCCTCCTCCTCCTCCGGGGTCCATCGCCGGATAGCTCCCTCCTCCGTCGTGGGTCTTCTGGTGAGTGGTGAAGAGCTGCTTGTCCAGGAAGCCCTCCCCACACTCACAGCAGATGTAGGGCCCAGTGTGGGCCTCCTCCACCAGCGCAGAGCAGGGGTCCTCTTTCCTCGACTCAGCCACGCAGCGGGACGACCGCCTCAGGCTGCTCCCCGGGGGCTTCCTTGCAAGCCCCACCGAAATGGGGTGGCTCTCGCAGAGCAGTTCCTCGCCCGGGCCCTGGAAGACTTCCGTCCACTTCCGGGGGAACATGCCGGGGAGCTCCAAGCTTTCGGGGTCTTCTTCCAGGAGCTGCGGAGTACCTGGCCAAACGGGGGAAAGAGGCAGGTTGGTGGCATATGAAATCAGACAGGGGTCCCCTTGGTTGAATCAACAAACATTAGGTAACATTAAAATCACAGATCACGCCCGAGTAGAAGTTGCCCTTAAAATGGGAGAAGGAACACAAACCACCCCTTCATGGTCCTTCAGTCCCATCCCAACCGCAAATAAACAGATTAGAGAGAGTCTCACAAAAACTCTACAAAAATCTATTTTGAAGAAAATGATGCAGACAATCTAACCCCCCCTGTTATGGGACGCAATGAGAGCATCCCTTAAAAAAACAAACCCTCAAAAATTAGCAAAATGAAATCAGACAGGCAACCGCATTTTGGTATTTCATCTCCCACTGGAAATGTTTCTGATTTGTCAAGAGCTTTTAGAAGATTAATTTGATTTGGTTCTTGGACATTTCGTCTGTCTGTATTTTTATCATTTTACAATTTAATGATGTTTCAAACTGCAAGGGGGGGGGTTGTTTTGTTTGTTATCATGTTGTGCAGTTTTGTGATTTATAGCGTAAACCACCCTGTGATCTTAGATGAAGGGGGATATAATAATAATAATAATAATAATAATAATAATAATAATAATAATAATAATAATGGATAGTGCAGCACGAAGGTGCCAACTGTCAAGGGCACTTCCAAAGGAATGCACTTGTCAGAGGGTTAACTCTTTATTGTCAAAGAAACCCACTCCTATGAGAAAAGGCCAGTTCTCCATCAATCACCCCTTGCCTTGTCAACAACAAAATAATAATAATAATAAATAATAATAATAAATAATAATAATAATAATAATAATAATAATAATAATAATAATAATAATTTGTTATTCATACCCTGCCCATACGGCTGAGTTTCTCCAGCCACTCTGAGAGGCTCCCACCAGATTAAAAACAGCACAGACAGCTCCAAATATCTCAAGCACATAAGCCCAAGTCTCAAGAGCAGCCCCATTCCACCAGTCAAGGATTCTGGGCTCTGCACCGCCCTCTCCTCCCCTGGCAATGTTCTCCTTCCCCTCCCAGCCTTGTGCAGGAGGGAGAGGAACCCCCCACTTAGGCCGCTCCAACTTACTCATGGCGGGATCCCCGGGGATTTCGCTCTCCTCCAAGTCGCCCATGCTTTTGACCAGGGACATTTCCTCCGGCTCCATCCAGGAGCTGTCGTTGAGGGCGGAAATCGGAGAGCCTGTTTCGGAGAGGAGGGAAGAAGGTACAGCAGCCATTCACCACCAGCGACACATTTAGGACAGGTCTGCAAAAGGCCACCTGAGCCAAGATGATGCAAGGACGAGCTACACTGTCCACCCCCTCCTCTCTAGCACTGATGTTCAGACTCCTCCTGTCTGCCTCCTTCATTGATTCTAGGGTTGTGTGTAATCAGCAAATCCATACAAGCACAGGACCATGTTGCTCTGAGTATAGAATACCAACATTTGAGAATTTCCACTTTTTGGGGGACAGGGGAGCATAAGGAGGAACACACCCAGAGAGTTCCTAGTCCTAATGGCTGTAAACAGTGACTTGAAAGTGCGTGGCCAGCAGGACATTTGGTGTAAGCTGCTCTTTTGGTAAAGGGACCCCTGACCATTAGGTCCAGTCGTGGCCGACTCTGGGGTTGTGGTGCTCATCTCGCTTTATTGGCCGAGGGAGCAGCGTACAGCTTCCGGTCATGTAGCCAGCATGACTAAGCTGCTTCTGGCGAACCAGAGCAGCATACGGAAACGCCATTTACCGTCCCGCTGGAGCGGTACCTATTTATCTACTTGCACTTTGATGTGCTTTCAAACTGCTAGGTGGGCAGGAGCAAGGACTAAGCAATGGGAGCTCACCCTGTTACGGGAATTCGAACCGCCGACCTTCCGATCGGCAAGTCCTAGGCTCTGTGGTTTAACCCACAGCGCCACCCGCGTCCCTATTCTTTTGGTAGATTTAATATAATTTGGTATGTCTTCTGATTTGCAAGTAAACTGATACTTATTTCTTTACAGTTAGCTGATGAGAAGTAACGGGATATTCTTACGATAATTGGAACCAAAGGGTCTGTTGGTTGTGTGGGAGGGAGGGGTTTAGTTTTTGTTCAGTAAGTTAGTTCATTTGTTAGAGTGGTCCTGTGTTTGGTTGCTGAACGAGAAATATAACAGTGCAATGCAACTGTATAGACATACTTTATTCAACGGATGACTTCCTCTGCTTATGTATTTACTTTTTCTTGAAAACCAAATAAAAATTACTTCAAAAGAAAAGAAGAAAAGTGTGTCGCCAGTTTGTGGTGGAGTTATGAAAGCAGGAGCGTGCCGTGAGGGCAAAGTAACACCTGCTTTATCCGTGCAACTGAGCTGGGAGGCAGAATTCAACTTCAGAATTCAAGGAACGTAACTCTTACAACAAACTTGCCAGTAAAGTTCCGTATAGTAAAAGCTCTGGTTTTCCCAGTAGTGACGTATGGAAGTGAGAGCTGGACCATAAAGAAGGCTGTTTGCCGAAGAATGGATGCTTTTGAATTCTGGTGCTGGAGGAGACTCTTGAGAGCCCCATGGACTGCAAGAAGATCAAACCTCTCCATTCGGAAGGAAATCAGCCCTGAGTGCTCACTGGAAGGAGAGATCCTGAAGCGGAGGCTCCAAGACTTTGGCCACCTCATGAGAAGAGAAGACTCCCTGGAAAAGACCCTGGTGCTGGGAAAGATGGAGGGCACAAGGAGAAGGGGACGACGGAGGACGAGATGGTGGGACAGTGTTCTCGAAGCTACCAGCATGAGTTTGACCAAATTGCGGGAGGCAGTGGAAGACAGGAGTGCCTGGCGTGCTCTGGTCCAGGGGGTCACGAAGAGGCGGACACAACTAAACGACTAAACAACAACAACTCTCACAAAGCCAACACCATGTGGGAAGAGCAACGGTTCTGAAGTGTCCTTGTCAAGGTTTTCAGAGCTTTTCGCTGTTTGCCTCAAGCTGTAAATTGTCCCCTTCAGCATCAGGGGTGGACCTGAGCTGCTCTCCCTGCACAACACAGAGGGGTGGGGTGGGGGTTGCCAACTCTGCGACTCACCCAGGGTGGTCTCCTTCAGGGCTTCTCTTTCCTCGACGTCCCCCCGACCAGCGACATCTGCTTGCTCGATCCGAGAGAGCAGCTCAGGTTTGGAGATGGCAGTGTCTGTGCGTGGCAGGGGGAAAAAACCTATTAGCAGCATCAAGCCTCTCATTTGCTCCAGAGCCCTCCTTTTATTTAAATTTCCCTTGGGAATGGCGCAGGAGCAGGGCGGTGGTGCTCTGGGACTCCCATGAACATACTCAACGACTGGTATGTAGACTTGGAGGGAATCCTAAGGGTCATCTAGTCCACCCCACTATAATGCAGGAATCAAAGCTAAAGAATCCCTGACAGATGGCCATCCAACCTCAGTTTGGAAACCTGCAAGGATAGTCTGTTCCATCACAGAACAGCTCTTATCTTTGGAAAGTTCTTCCTAACGTTTGGCCAGAATCTCCTTTCTTAGTTTTTTTAATCCATTGGTTCAGGTCCTACCCCCCTGGAGCAGCAGAAAACAAGCTGCGTCTTCCATGTGAAAGTCCTTCAGATATTTGGAGATGGCTCTCATGTCACTTCTCAGTCTCCTCTTACCCAGGCTAAACATATCAACTCCCTCAATTGCTCTTCATAAGGCTTGGTCTCCAGGTCGCCCTCCTCTGCACATGTTCCACTGATCAATCATCTACCTGAAGGAATTTCCTGGCAGGACAGACTAGCCAATGACCAGCTGGGCTCTGGGCATTCTCGTGCTGCACAGAGCTTGGCTAACCTGCAGACCTGATAAGGAACTCTTTGCCGGGCCCATATAACCCCTCAGCAGATCACCTGTTTGCCTGCAGAAGGTCCAACGTCTGGCATGTCTGGGTAGGACTTGAGAACAACTCCTATCTGAAACCCTGGAGAGCTACTACGAGCCAGAAGAGGCAAAACTGAGCAAGATGAACCCATGGCCTGAATCAGCATCTAGCAGCTTCCCATGTCTGGTACAAGTGATCTGCACCTGCGTCACTCTGAAGCCTGGTCAGATGTTGGCTGAGAATTGATGCTGTGTCCACTTAGCAAGGCCCTGGGCCATGGTGGATGAAGGCTCAGGCACACAGAGAGCTCTGCCTGGCCACGCCATGTGGACCCTTCCTTACCCATAGAGACCACGGCCTTGTAGTTGCACTTCATGATGTGCCGGTAGAGGTCCTTCTGCCCTTCATCCAAGCTGCGCCACTCTTGCTCGGAGAAACTGCAGGAGGCTTCGTCAAACAGCAAAGGGACCTGCAACCGCGTCAAAGAGAGGGAGAAGTCACTTCCTCTTAGGTAGAGCAGCTGCCTTGCAGGCAAAAACGTCCCGGGTTCAGTCCTTGCCTGAAACCATAGAGAGCCACTGCCTGTCAGTGCAGACAGTACTGAGCTTGATAGACCAACAGACTAACTTGGTATAAGGCAGTTTCCTGTGTTTCTAATCCTCTGCCAGGTCCCCTGATGGAAATCTCAGAACCTGGTCATATATTTCGCTTCCTACCATTTTTACACATTTTATGGGCAACTGAAATTACAGATAACCTTTCCCCAACCACCGCTGCTTGCTTGCTTCCTTCCTTCCTTCCTTCCTTCCTTCCTTCCTTCCTTCCTTCCTTCGTCTTCTTCCAAGTCAGCTGGTGTCAATTCTACAACTTTTTGATGCCAATTGAAAACAGTTTCTTCTTCTTCTCAGAAGCTGTTAATTGTTTGAGTTCAAACTTCTTGTGTTGCTGCTTTTACTGCCATTTTGCACCTGCAAGGAACTATGTTAACCCAGGAAGCGATACTGTAAGGAGAATCCCTATTTTAAAACAAAACAAAACCTTCAAACACCTGGCCCAGCACCCTGTGCTCACTTTGGCCAACTCTCTCTTCCTGTGGTTTCTAGCAACTGGTCTTCAGAAACACTGCTGCCTCAAATTGTGGCGCTTCCTCCTCTATAAATCTGTCTTCCAAAGCCATCCAAGTTGGGGCCATCACTGCCTCCTACGGGAAGGAGTCCCATAGTTTAAATATGTGCTGTGTGAGTGACTTTCTTTTATCTGAATCTTCCCACATTCAGCTTCTGTAGTGATGTTGGGAAATCTTAGCAAGTTAAAACTTTGGCTCATGCCAAGGAAGAGCATTGTGGGAGAGCACTGGAGAATTCTGGGAATGTGTATCTGCTTCTTTGGCTTCTGTCTCAAAGAATGTGAATAAGTTATCTTTTCCATCTGCAGGAAGGAGGTTCCTAGCTGATTTCTAGTCTTGACACCTGGCTATCTTAGATGCTGTTTCTGTGTGAACCGGGTCATCAAGCCAACTCACAACTCAAAGAATCTGGTCTGGCTCTGGGAATGCTTCTAATCTTCAAGGCCTTTTGATAAACAGGATTCAGCTGTCAGAGGCTCCTAACAAGCCTGAGTTATTGTATCTAACCACTGGTGAATTGCTAATTAATCTAAAGAACTGATTGGCTTTTGAGTTTTGAATCCAAGTGGGTTCAAAGGGGATAAAACCTTAGGAAACCCACCTGCAATTCGCAGCCCATCTTGCCAAACTGGCAGCCTGCCTCACCTAACCTACTTTGCCATGCAAGATCATTGTCATGCAGAGAGGGCTTGCCTGATGCCAGGGGTGTTTTGAACTGTTCTGTTTCACACTTTCATTCGCATTGTGAGTATGTTTTGTAGCAAGTGATATTAAGCAATGCTTTTATTTTTTTTGTTGGGGGATTTGTAAGAGATGTGCCAACTTTTATGTTTGAATAATCTTGTTTTTTAATAAATCCTGGAAAAAGGACTTTTCCCTGTTTTTGTCTTTTGTGCCTTTCTGCTGGGGAAGCTAACCCAGTACCTGACCACTTAGCCACCTGCCAGAGCCTGTTGGATTTCTGTCTGTGCCACAGTAAAGTGACACAGGGTGGGGCACCCTGGTAACGCTGAAGAGTAATCTCCTTCCTTATGCTTACTTTTCGGGGCTGTTCTGAGATAAGGAAGTGGTGGCAGCATACTACTGTTTCTGGTTTTTTGTGTGTGTTCTGAAAAAGCTTCTGCACACCCCCTCTCTCTCAGCCGGGTCTTGCCGGACTTGGAGGGCAGGTGGGGGAGTGGGCGCGAATGCTACAGCTTCCTTGAATGCCCAAGAGAGTTCCGGTGTTAGGAGAGAGGAAGAAAACCCCCCCACCCTACAAATAGCAAGGACTGCTAGAATACTGCCTGCAAAGCAGTAATTTGTGGATATGAGAAATCCCACCTCTCTTCCATGGCCAGGCACAGGCCCTATCCCTGCCCAGCCTGCTTACCTTGGGGATTTCCCCCCTGGATCCTGGGGGCAGGCGGAGGATCCAGAAGTTGCGGTTCTTGAGCAGGTTCTCCATGTTCTCCAGCCTCCTCTGGAGCTGCCCGTACTCTTGAATGAGGGTCCCCAGGGCAGCCCACTTGCTCTCCAGCTGGTTCCCGAATTCGACGGCGGTCTTTTCGCAGCCGTCCAGCTTCGTCTCGGCCATCCCCATCCTCCCCTCCAGGCTCATGAGCTGCGCTGCATAAGAGTCCACTTTGCTCTCCACCGCTTGGATTTCAGCCACAACTGTCAGGGAGAGCTCAGCCGCTTCGGGGAGCACGTCCCCCATGGGCGTTTGCTCAGGGGTGCTGAGGGGCTGGGCAGCAGCCATGGGCTGGGGCTCCACCTCCCACTGAAGATCCTATTAGAGAGGCGAGACATGCAAACAACATTACGTTCCTGGGTGGTCTGGAACAGAGCAACGTTCTGCAGCCACTGTCTCTGGCCATTCCTCTTGAGGAAGGCTCTCTAGGAACAGGTAAAGGGACCCCTGACCATTAGGTCCCGTTGTGAACGCCTCTGGGGTTGTGGTGGTCATCTCACTTTCTTGGCCGAGGGAGCCGGCATACAGCTTCCAGATCATGTGGCCAGCATGACTGAGCCGCTTCTGGCGAACCAGAGCAGTGCACGGAAACGCCGTTTACCTTCCCGCCGGAGCGGTACCTATTTATCTACTTGCACTTGAGCTGCTTTCAAACTGCTAGGTGGACAGGAGCAGGGACCGAGCAACGGGAGCTCACCCCGTCGTGGGGATTCAAACCGCCGACCTTCCGATCGGCAAGCCCAAGAGGCTCTGTGGGTTAGGCCACAGTGCCACCCGCATCCCCTAGGAACAGTTAGCCAAAACTTAAAATGAAGGAGGAAGTAAGTTCTGTGTCAAAAAAAGGTCAGAAAGTGGATGTATTTGCATATTCTGCATAATTCCACTCCTGCTGGACAATGAGGAGGGACCTGCTGGCCACTGACCGCCCACTTGAGTTCAGGAAGGCTTACCCTGCCCACCTTTGGAATCTAATTGCCTTCAGTTCATCATCTTCATTTTATCCCAAAAGCATGAGGATTGTGAACTTGGGGAATGAATTCTGCAGCAGATGCCAAATAGTCAAAAAGCCAGCAGTCACTGAGCAACAAAACAACCAATGAACTGTGTACTGCAGGTGGAGATCAATGGAGAGGGATCCTTATGGGAAAGAAACTATGGCTGCTATTACGTGGTCCAAGCAGTACACTCTTGAGTTATACGGAAACAAGGTGGCTTACAAGTTTCAGGGCTGCTGACCACTGCTCCATCTCTAATAAATTCTTCACTCATCAGTTATGCTGCATTTCTCTGCTTAAACACCAGCCCTTCTCTAACCATGTGATATTCCTAACCATACAATATTAATAGTATTTACTTCTCCTTATCCTTAGCATTCGTATGATGATTGGTTGAGGTTTACATGTGTCTTTTCTACAATCAGCACTTGCTTTTTGTGGGCCTGGGACAACTCTGGGTTTACACCAGGGCTGGGGCACTGGATCTGGCCAGATCCTTCCTCCACGGATGGGACAACTTGGACAGGTGAGCAGGACAGACCATTAGGGGAAATGGCTTTGTAGACCAAAGCTTTCCCATCCCCGACTTAAACCAATGACCCTGCCACTACTGTATCTAGTTGATCATTCAAGCACAAGTCCTTTCTATTAATGCTTCATTAAGCTACCTATTGCAGCTCCAGGAGGAAATTTTTGAAGCTGCAGTGGGCCTGGAACAGCTCTCTGCACTGGAAAAGGTAGCATGAAAAGGACAAACAGCGCTGAGGTTCATCATGGAGGAGAATAAGAGACAGAACGTTCTGCATCCAGATGCAGTTCACCTCCTCAAGGACTACAGAGAACATTTGCAGACATCTTGCTTCCAAGAGTACAAGGCAGAAGAAAGTTCAAAGGAAGGCAAAAGCAACAGAGATGAAAGGATGACTTCCATGTGCAAATTTTGCAAGACAAGGTGCCTCCGTTTAGAAAGACAACGGGCTTGCCGATCTGAAGGTTGGCAGTTCGAATCCCTGCGACGGGGTGAGTTCCCGTTGCTCGGTCCCTGCTCCTGCCAACCTAGCAGTTCGAAAGCAGGCCAGTGCAAGTAGATAAATAGTTACCGCTCTGGCACGAAGGTAAACGGCATTTCCATGCGCTGCTCTGGTTCACCAGAAGCAGGTTAGTCTTGCTGGCCACATGACCTGGAAAAACTGTCTGCAGACAAACACCGGCTCCCTCGGCCAGTACAGCGAGATGAGCGACGCAACCCCAGAGTTGTCCGCGACTGGACTTAACTTTCAGGGGTGCCTTTACCTTACAAGACTTTTATTGCAGCACCAATCATTTAGGACACAGCAGTTCAGCTTGCCGTGTGATAGCTGAATTTGCACATAATCAGTTCATAAACCCCCTTCCGAAAGGGAGTGTAACAGAGTGCTCAGGCGATCTGTGGAACTCTACTGCAGGATGAGAGGTTTGCCAAGAGCATAAATGCAACTGTAAGTGCAGACACCTCTTTTTCCAAGAGCAGAACCCCAGCAGTTCCTTTGTATGAAGCTCTCATGGAAAGCTGGGACAGGCCTTCAATGGCATTGCTTTAGGGGGAATCCCATCTAATGAATGTGACTCACCAAGTCACAAGCTGACTTCAATTTTGGGCCAAGCCTTTGATGTTTCCTCTTCTGCCCCTGCCCCCACCCCCACGAATCCCCATGGTCCAATGAGGTATATTAAATTTACAAAGAAAGAGCACATAGGGAGGATCAATTCACAGATATGGAAGATTAATGACCCAGCCAGAATGAGTCATGCCTTACTTGTGTACAGACTAGACTTAGTGCCCTACAGGGTTTTTGGTTTTTTGGGGGGGGGCGCTAGCCTTTTCACTATCACTGGTCCACTGGCCCATGCTGACTGGAGCTGGTGAGAATGGACAATTCAAAGCTTGAGAAAACCTTGGCTTGGGTACTGCAATTCAGTCCAGGGTGCAGCAGCTCAGGGGTTGAATGGAAGATGCCAACCAGCTGGTTCCCAGCTGGTTTCCAGGCCCAATTTAAAGCGCTGGTTTGGACCTTGAAAGTTCTTAACATGCCCAGGACATCTCAAGCACTGCCTGCTCCCACAGAAGCCTGCCACAGTGTCAGGCTTCTGAAAGTCTGAAGTACAGTGGGTGGGTAACACAAGATCTCTGCGGCGGCACTAAAAATGTGGCACTCTATCCCTAAAGATGTTTGCCTCACTCCTTCCTTCTTGACCGCTAGAGGCGAGGCCAAGGTAGTCCTCAGAGGGCTTTGGGATGCTTTGCCAGTGTTGCATGATAAATGAAGGCTGCTTCCATTAAATCTATTGTTCGCTGTACTTCTTTTACTGATTGACTGATTGATTTATAGCCCACCTTTTCCCCCCAAGGAGCTCAAGGTGGAGTACATAGTTTTACCTACCCCCCCTCCATTTAATCCCCACAACAGCCCTGTGCGGTAGGTTAGGCTGAGGGGCAAGGACTGGTCCCCAAGGTCACATCCAGTGAGCTTCATGGTCAAGTGGGGATTCGAACCCTGGTTTCTTCCCAGGTCCTAGTTCGACACTTAAACCACGACACAACACTGGCTCTCTTAAGTTTGGATGGTTTATCCATGATTTGTGGTGGGTTCTGTTGCCATTGTTTATTGTGCAAGCTGCCTTGGAGACCTTAAATCAAAGGCAGGCAAAAAATGTTTTAATAAAACGAGCAAAATAAGTGATCTGTATCAAAATACTGAGGGGTGCCCTTTTGCTTAAGAGCAAAGGAAGGTCCTTGTGGGACCACCTTGTCCCAGCAAGCGAGAAATGGCAAAGGAAAAAAGGAGGCCTCACCATTAACAGGAAGCGAGCAAGTCACTAGGGCAAGAGGGTCCATTGCACAAGCAATTCCCAAAATGTCTTTGGAAAATGAGCGGCATTTTGTTCTTTTTTTTAAAGAAGGTTTATAAGAATTCTACAGGACAGTGTTCTCTCTGGGTGGATTACAAAATTAAAAATACAATCCAGAAATACAGATTTCACAGCAAAGCATCAATCACCGCAAATATAAAAAGTATGTATTCAACCCAGCATAAAATAGTCAAACCATTTAAAACCAACAGATTCTAAAACAACAAAGACATAAAAATTATCCTAACTAGAAGCCAACTGGGTCCTCCCGGCTTTTTTTGAAGGGTATCTCTGATCATGCATCCATCCATCTTCTGTGGAAGGAGACCCATGCACTAGGGAACACCACCGAGAAGGCCCAAGTTAGGGGCAGACAAGCAGGGCCTCCAAAGCTGATCTTGAGATACGGGCTGGTTCACGTGGGTGAAGATGGCTACGAATTTCTAGGATCAGAACACACACCTCTCCCCCCAAAAAAAAGATTACAGGGGAGGATTTTGACAGGCTTTCTTCCATGATATTTTACAGTTTAGTCCATCTGAAAGATAGTATTCTCCTGTATGAACGTTCTTTGGGGGGAGGCCCTTTTCTCAGTACTGGAAAAGGGCCTTCTCAGTGGCGGCTCCCAGACTTTGGAACTCCCTTCCTAAAGAAGGAAGACTGGTTCCCTCTCTTCACCAGCAGGTGAAGACTGTTTTATTCCGACCGGCTTCTGGGAACTGTTGTTGTTGTTTTTTTAAACAAGGAAATGGCTTTTAATAGCGCTGTTCTTTTTTATTATCTGGACTTTTATATATTGCTTTTCTATTACTTTTAAATTATAGTCATACCTTGGAAGTCGAACAGAATCCATTCCGGAAGTCTGTTCGACTTCCAAAACATTCAAAAACTGAAGCGCAACTTCCAATTGGCTAAAGGTACTGCAGATAATCAGAAGTCACGGAAGCCCCGTCGGATGTTTGGCTTCCAAAAACAGTTCACAAACCGGAACAGTCACTTCCAGGTTTGCAGCATTCAGGAGCCAAAACGTTTGAGAACTAAGCTGTTCAAAAACCAAGAGACGACTGTATTATCTTTTATGTTTTTTTCACTTTTTAAAAATTTCTGCGTTGTTCTGGTCTGGGGAAAAGGAAGGATATAAATATATATACAGCAACAACACTTTAAACAATGCAGTCCAAATCTCTGCTGCCAAAAAACCCTGTAATTAAGGAACATGAAACCATTTCCAGAGACCTTGACTGTGCGCAAGACTTGGGACTGAACCACCTGTGCAGACTTGCAGCACTATGCATCACGCCTTTATGCTAGGAGCAAAGGAACACATCTTTTATTCCTCGATGACAGCATCACCACATCTTTAGGCTCTAGGGCATGGATTGAAGGCTCATGATGCAGCAACCTTGCAGATGCGAAACAGAGGCAGCTCTAAGCACTGCCTGAATGGGAGATTATCTGGGAGCTCTCTGTTATGCCACAATGAACTTGTGGAAGAAATGTTAAGAATCAAAATATACCCCTTGTAACTCATTCATCTTCTTCCTTGGTTATTTCTTAACATGCTGCCATATATACTGTATTTTGCTTTGTACCAATACCTCTTTTTTGTACTGTTTCTTGTTGTTCTTAATTAAAAATATCTTTTTAAAAAAGAAGACGAAGCAAACATAATTCACCCCGATCCTTGCTGCACCTTGGTGAGAGCAACAGAAAGCATTTTTTTCCCTCCTGGGTCCATTCTACCCTCCAAAGCTCCATAACAAGGTCCTAGCTGAAAATTAACTAGCATCACAACTATCTGTCCTTAAAAACTGCCCCTCTCACTCTTTCCATGGGGGGGGGGGTCGAGGGCAGGCAGGCTGCATAATAAACACAGCACCCCTTCCATGCTAAATTGGGCTCCGTGCTCCTGCCTCTCTCTGCCCTGAAAGCCTCTCTACAAAAGGCAGCAAGAGCCCTATTTGCAGAGGCCAGAAACAATTTGGGGATGGGTTAACGCAGAGGAAGAGATGACAGCTACCTGATTTGCTTTCATTGATGGGAGGAATTAACTGCCTCAGCCCTAGGGATGCAAGACACTTCCTCCACGGAGGAGTCCCTATCAGATCTGGGGCACCGGTTTTCCTAGGAGGGAGAGGAAAAGCTAGCCCCCTTTGCTGCTGTCCCCATCAACACCCCCTTGCCCAAAATAAACTACACATCCGTTTTGGGGCCTAATCCTTAGTTTCAGGAGGTAGTTGTAACATATATTTGTTTTCCTCCCTCTCCAGCATCATCATCTCCTGGCAGTGTTTGCTTCTCCCCTCTCAGATCCACCCTCCACAAAATGAACCCCCATAAAAAAACTCCCCCACATCCATTTTGGGGGGCTGATCCATAGCTTCAGGAAGTAGTTTTGACATGTATTTGTTTCCCTCTCTCTCCAGCATCACCACCATCTCCTGACAGCCTTTACTTCTCCCCTCTCAGATCCTCCCCAAATGACCCTCCCTTTAAAAAAACCACTGCACCCCACAACTGTTTTGGAGCCTGATCTGCAGCTCTAGGGGGCGGTTTTGACATATGTGTGTGTGCATCTCTGTCCCGGAGCCTCACCCTCATTTCTGGGCAGCCTTTGCCTCTTCCCTCCCAGATCATCAAAAAGATCAACCCCTCCCCAAAAAAGCACCCCCCCCAAAAAAAACACCCCTCCACCTCACACCCGTTCTGGGGGCCTAAGCTGCAGGTCCAGGAGTTGATTCTGACATGTGGATGTTTTCATCTCTCCCCCTGAGCATCATCATCATCTGGCAGCCTTTGCCCCTACCCCTCCCCAAAAAGCCCCCCCCAAAAAACCCTTCATCTCACACCCATTTTGGGGGCCTAAGCTGCAGGTCCAGAAGGTGCTTCTGACATGTGGATGTTCTCATCTCTCTCCCTGAGCATCATCATCATCTCCTGGCAGCCTTTGCCCCTTCCCGCCTCCCCAAAACAGCACACCCCACCCCAAAAAACAACCCCTCCACCTCACACCCATTTGGGGGGCCTAAGCTGCAGGTCCAGGAGTTGATTCTGACATGTGTATGTTCTCATCTCTCTCCCTGAGCATCACCATCTCCTGGCAGCCTTTGCCCCTTCCCTCCCAGATCACCCCCAAAAAGATCACCCCCCCAAAAAAAATATCCCCCACCCTTTTTGGACCCTGACGTGCATCTCCAGGAGGCGGTTTTTGACATGTACGTGTGTACGTTATTTCAACCCAACATACGTGTCTTCCATTCCCCCCCCCCTCCATCTTCAGCATCTTCAGCCCCGACAGCACTTTGCCTCTCCCCCCCCGCTCCCCACAACACAAAAAACACCCCCCCTGGACCCACAACTGCAGCAGCCACAAGGGGGGGGTCTCCAAAGGAAGGGGTCCCTCCTCAGGCCCCCCCTCACGGCATCCATTCCCCCCCCCCCTTCACCACCCATGACAACCTCCCTCAGCAGCAGACTCCATTTTGGGAGCCCCCCCCCTCCGCCCAACCGTCACCTCCCCCCCCCCCTTCCAGGTCCCTCGCTCACCTGGGCGGGGCTCCACTCGGCCATGGCCCGGCGCTGTCGTCGCCGCTTCTGAGGGGCGAGGAGGGCCGGGAGAGCGAGAGGGAGGAGCGGGGCGGGCAAGACGGACGGCGGCGGCGCCGGGGAAGCTCCAGGAAGCGGAGCGAGCGCCGGGAGAGAGCGCCGCCCAGGGGCCGAGGAGGAGAAGGCAGGCGCCGCAGCGACACCTGCCGGGCGGAGGCCGTGGGCGACGCTGCGGGGAGGCGGGCGGGGGAAGAGCCGGGCGGGGGAGACCTGGTTGTTAATAATAATACATAATAATAATACATAATTTATTAATTTTATTGAGTACAAATTAGAAAAAATACAAATACACAAAAAAGGAAAATACATGTAACCAAGAGAAAATTAGAAAACATTTTACCTCTTCTCATATTTACAATTATTTACCCCTCTACAAAACAATACTCACAATAAAGAAAAGAAATGAAAGGTAAAATATAAAAGAAAAGAACAAGAAAAAGATAAAGAAAAGGAAGAAATAAGATCAAGAATGAGAATTTTAAAAGTAAATAAGTATTCACTATACACAGCCATTTCCAATCTATGTTTATGTTCAATTATGTCTTTTCATCATATACTTATCTATCTTAATTAAAATATTTTTAAAAGACTCTGATCAAGGTCATAATAATAATAATAATTTTTATTTATACCCCACCCTCCCCAGCCAATACTGGGCTCTGGGCGGCTAACAACCAATAATAAAAACATGTTGATTAAAATACAATTTAAAATATAAGATTTTTGGTTACTTACATGAAACTTAATAAAAAGAAATTAAAAAAATAAAAAATAAAATACAAGATTAAAATACAACATTAAAACATTAGGATGCAGCCTAATCACAGGGGGAGAAAGGAAAAAGGAAAGAGGGGATCAAGTTGATTCCAAGCCAAAGGCCAGGTGGAACAATTCTGTCTTACAAGCTCTGCGGAAAGAAATCAGAGCGTTCCACCAGGCCGGAGCCATCACTGAAAAGGCCCTGGGCTCTGGTTGAGGCTAATCTGACTTCCTTAGGGCCCGGGACCTCTAGGGTGTTGCTATATATGGACCTTAAGGTCCTCCGTGGGGCATACCGGGAGAGGCAGTCCCGTAGGTACGAGGGTCCTAGGCCGTGAAGTTATTGTTACCACCATTAGAATAATATAGGATACTGGGCCGGATTCACATATAAGCTAAACAAGCTATAGCTTAGGGCCTCACTCTTTTGGAGGCCAGCCCAAAAAATTTAAAGGGGAAAAAACCTGGATGTGCATTTCCAAAATATAAGATAAAAAGCAAATAAAATAAAAGCAACAGTGTTTTGTGTTGTGTAGGCTCCTGTGATGTAAGTCATGGGCCCCGCCTGCTTGCCTGCTCCCTAAAATATCACCGGTTTGCTCATTTCTATATATAGGGTGCCTACATTCTGCATGGACTGGTTGCATGGCTTTAGATCAGGCTTCCTCAAACTTATAGTTCAGTACATTGACTATTGCTTTCATTTTATGGATCAGTGGTCTCATTGGATAGTAAATTTCATGTTAAATTGCTGTTTTAGGGATTGTTTTTAAAAGTCTGGAACGGATTAATCCATTTTGCATTACTTTCTATTGGAAAGCGCGCCTTGGTTTTGGAACACTTTGGTTTTGAAATGGACTTCCGGAACGGATTAAGTTTGAGAACCAAGGTACCACTGTATTTGCTTTGCTAATCGCCTTCCTTTTGTCTTCCATGATGGCTCTTCTCCCAAGAGATTTTCTGAGCAGGAAAAGTTGTTTGGTTTGTATTTTGACACTGTTATATTCAGCATCTGGCAGCCCAGATTAATACTCCAAACACTGATTAAATTCTAACACTTACTAAATCCAGGAATTATGTGTGTCTTGCACACACAAACTCTGGCATTCTCTATCTCTCTCTCTTGCTCACACAGACACACACACACACTGATTGATACGATCTTGGTGGTTGAAACAATAACAGTTAATAAATTAAGGGCTACCTATAGCTTTTTAGAGTAGGTGAGAGGGATGTTTTACTACATTTCCTTCCCCTGGTTTTTATTTTTATTATTAATTAAATTAATTAAATTTCTTTAATTTGAACCCACAACCTTGAGGCTAAGAGTCACATGGAGACTTTGAAAAGCTGGTATCACTGGATCAAGCTAAATGGTTTTAATTGGGTTTTGAATAAATGTGCAATTAATTGTCTGTGTTTTGAATTTCATCGTGCTGTTAGCTTCCTTAGCGTTCTAGATTAGTGTTATCTTCCTTAGCGTTCTTCCTTAGCGGGCTGTGCAAACCGCTATTACGAATGATGCTTTTTTTAATATAGCATAGGGGAAAACTGGGTGTGAGTTTATGGAACCAAGGGGGCAGTAGCTGGAAAAAGTTTGGGAACCACTGGTGTAAATAAGGACCTGACTTGATAGAAAGGAGCTTCCTGTGTCCCTATTTAAATTGGCTCATTATTCTCTATCATGAGGACTACAGTCTTAAAGGGGGGGGCAGGTAAGTGCCACAACAAACCAGTTTTATATGCAAAATGCCCCAGTAGCAGCTTCAGATAGAGCTAGGAATGTTCCCGCAACCTGAAATCCCATAGAGCTGCTGTCATTCAGTGTTGACAATATACTGAGCTAGTGGTGATAACCTTGGTTCTGAAGTTCCTGACAGATTTCCTTTGTGCCCAGTCTCTGCCGCAGCAGCCCGTGAAAGAGGCAGGTGGGGTTGTGGGGTGGCCTCCCCTACATTTAAAGCCCTGGTTTTGTGAAATGCAAATAGTCTTGCTTTGGCAGCCCTGGCTATTTGCCTGTGGGGAGGAGCGATTCCCATCCTAGTCCTCTTCCAGCACCCTCCTGCCCCAGTCTGTGGTGCTGCTGCGTCAGGAAAGGCTGTCTCGCTCTTGCTGGGGATATCGCTGTTGGTTTTTTCCAATGAACCATTGTTCTCTCTCTCCCTCTCTCTCTCTCTCTCCTCTAGCAGCTCCATTGCTGCCCATTGGAGGGATCCCTTGTCCAATCCAGGCCAAGAAGAAATCCTAAATAGAAAGGCACAGCACCAATTGGCGAGATGAACATAGAGCAGGCAGACAGGATGGGGCTGGCGGTGGGGAGAATTGCTGGATGGGAGAAGCTGAGCAGCATCCCATGAGCAAACAGGCCTCTACCCTCTCCTGCCCTGTGACTTTTTGGAGTGGGAGCAGCCTTGCACTCGCCTTCGTCTCCGGGAGATGCTCGGACTCTGGTCCTTCCAGCATCCTCCATCCTCAGCCTTTCTCTCCTCCCTGCATCCTCTCTTGGTACCAGCATTAGTTCTGAAGCCTCTGGGTGCTGCGAGGATACTCAGAGCAGCAGTGGTGGGGGCTCCATCTCGACTTGGTGAAGGATGGCTCAAAAAGACCAGGTTCCACTGGATACAGATTCAGGTAAGGATGGCTCTGAGGAAGTCTCAGAGAGCTGCATGCGGAGAGCTTGAGGGATTCATTTTAGATGCGGGGATTGGGGACTTTTAGTCCTGGAAGCTGTTTTCACAGCTGCAGCAAAAAGAGAAAAGGGAGAGAGTAGAGAGTACCTTTGGGCATGTGCAGAGTGATTTCCACACCTCCTTAGAAGCAACAACTCGGCGGACACATGCATGGGGTTGAGGAGAGTGTTTTGGGGTGGTTCCTCAGGAGGAGGAGGAGAGGATTTTTTCAATGCACCTCACCACAAAAAACGTTCTGTGCAAATGAAAATTGCTTTTGCCCTGTCCCATTAGCCACGAATTGGGGTGGGGGAATCTGCAACTTTGCACGACAGCATTTATCTGCTAGCCCTGTCACTCAGCTATGCAGCATGCAACCTTGACTTAGTGTCCTGGTGGAAGAAGGGAACAGACGGGGAACACCAAATTCCACCAGAGTAAAGGTAAAGGGACCCCTGACCACTAGGTCCAGTCATGACCAACTCTGGGGCTGCGGCGCTCATCTCGCTTTATTGGCCGAGGGAGCCAGCGTACAGCTTCCGGGTCATGTGGCCAGCATGACTAAGCCGCTTCTGGCGAACCAGAGCAGCGCACGGAAATGCCGTTTACCTTCCCGCCGGAGCGGTACCTATTTATCTACTTGCACTTTGACGTGCTTTCGAACTGCTAGGTTGGCAGGAGCAGGGACCAAGCAACGGGAGCGCACCCTGTCACGGGGATTCGAACCGCCGACCTTCTGATCAGCAAATCCTAGGCTCTGTGGTTTAACCCACAGCGCCACCCACATCCCTTCTACCAGAGTAGGGCTGGCTTAAAGGTTCAAATGTGGGTCCAGCAAGGCATACTCTCTCATACCTGTCAGGCTCCCGTCATGCAAACAGAGCCTCCACTGGCATCTGCCCTGCACCTTCTAAAATATCCCCATGCCTACAAGCCAGGAAGTCTCTGTTTTGCCTCCACAGTTGGATACAGCAATGCTTCTGAATACCAGTCGCTGGAAACTGCAAAAGGGGAAAGTTGTTATTGTAATCGAATCCTGTTTGGGGGTTCCTCATACTGGGCATCTGGTTGGCCACTGTGAGAACAGGATTCTGGACTAGGTGGGCCATTGGCCTGATCCTGCAGACTCTCCTTGTATTCTTGTCCTTCTTCTCAAGAGGGAATTTTTCTTCACAGGGGAATTTAGTGTGACCACGAAGCTGTTCAGTGCTCACCTTGTTTTGCAGCATCCCAATGATGCCCTTTCCTATCCAAGTCCCACCCCACAATTTCCCCCATTTAAGCAGGATTTTGCCTATCTGCAGATACAGTGGAGGCTCGTGTTGCGAATGTGATCTGTGTGGGATGCACGTTCGCAATCCACAGCGTTCGCAACCCGCAGCAGCACATCTGCGCACGCGTGGGTTGTGATTCGACGCTTTTGCGCATGCGCAGAGCATGATTTAGCACTTCTGCGCATGCGTGACCGCCAAAACCCGGAAGTAACCCATTCCGGTACTTCCGGGTTTCGGCGGTCCGCAACCCGAAAAAACGCAACCTGAAGTGTCTGTAATCCAAGGTATGACTGTAATCTGAAAAGCAGAAATAATACGAGTCCTCTATCTGAAAGACTGCAGGATGTTGACCTGATCCAGTCACCGGGCTCTTCTTGGCAGTGCCCAGTCTGACCAAAGGACCCCCATGCTAGTTAGGCCTGATGAGAGTTGTAGTCCCAAACATCTGGAGGTCACCTGATGAAGGGTGGTCTGTTAGATAGAAGAACATATAGAAGTCCATTACACTTCCTTTGGTCACTCAGTTAACCTTCTCTGCATTTTTTCTTTTCCAGGATTGGACCAGCATCCCAAAAGAGTGAAGGAGGAAGAGGAACCGGGGATGTATCGAAAGAGGCAGGAGGTCTTGCCTCCTGCCAACGCCTCACCTGGAAAAGGTGGAGAGAATGGACTCAGCCCTCCTGCACTCGGGCAAAACCACTTGGAACCAGGGCAGCCTGATTCCAGAGCAGGCAGTGAGGAAGGTCTGGTGATGGACCACAGAGTGGGATGTGGCCCCAGTGCGCCTGCCTTTGGGATCTGCAGAGCGCCGATGGGAGAGATGCCCCACTGGTGCTTGGAGTGTGGGAAGAACTTTGCCCAAAAGGCAGAGTTAGAAAAGCACGGTCTGAACCACACCGGGCAATGCTCATACATCTGCGGGGACTGTGGAAGGAGCTTGATGGAGCATGTTGCTCTCGCCACTGGTCAGGGAGCCTGCCTGGCAGGGAATGCCAGCAACCACACCAGCTGCAGGAAGAGGGTTTCACCTCTGTCGAGCGAGACTGTCGTGCAGAGGAAAGAGCGGAAGGAGCTCTCCCTGCAAGAGAAGGTCCGGGTGCTGGAGATGCTGGAAGGGCCCAAGGTCTCCCAGAGCGAACTGGCCAAGAGGTTTGGGGTCTCCCAGCCCCAGATCTGCCGCATCATCAAGAACAAAGAGCGCATCCTGGCCGAGTGGTGCAAGAACGGCAACCCAGGGCGCAAGCGCAAGCTAGAGGAGAAGACCATGGCTGGTGAGGTGGCCCTTCTACAGTGGTTTGAGCACAGGTGTGTGTCCAGCACCCCTGCCAATGGGATGCATTTGCAAGAGAAGGCTGGAGATCTCTCCAAGATGTTCAGGAGGAAGCCAGAGCTGGAGGCAGGCCTGGGTTGGTTGCGTGGTTTCAAAGCCAGGCAGAAAGCGGCGCATGGAAGACCTCCGGAGGAGAAAGAGAACAGTGAGGAACTGGAGGATGAGGGCTGGGAAAACAACGTCCTGCCCTACATCCTAAACAAATATGACCCCCGTGACATCTACGCCTGCGGGGAGGCTGGCATCCTGTTTCGAGCCACCCCAGAAGGCCTAGCTTGGGACAGCGGAGAGGGAGCCAAGGACCAGCTCACTGTCTTGCTCTGCACCAATCTGGATGCTTCAGACAAGAGGGACGCCTTGATCGTCGGCAAGGCACGAAGGCCATTTGGCTTCCAAGGGGTTGACAGGGAGGACCTGCTGCCTGTCACCTACAGAGCTGATAGCAAGGCATGGATGACAGCGACCATCTTCACTGAGTGGCTCCAGAAATTCAACGAGGACATGAAACGAACAGACAGGAGCGTGGTGCTGTTTTTGGTCCCATGCGCAGCGCATCCCAACACTGAGCTCTCTCATACCAAGATGGTTTTCATGCCTCCTGGCTCTTCCCGCATCCATCCTCTTGAGCATGGGCTGGTCCAGAACTTCAAATGCCATTACCGGAGGAGGATGCTTCTTCGCCTCCTTGCCGTGCTCGACAGCAGATCCCCCGTTCCTGCAAGCAAACTCTCAAAGCACCTGACTCTTTTGGACGCTGTTCATATGATAGTCCAAGCCTGGTTAGATGTCTGTCCACAGACCATCACAAGCTGTTTCCAAGCTGCGGGCTTTGGCTTGGCTCTCCGCATCCCAGCTCCTCCCATGGACGTGGTCCAAGCCCTGGGGTTCAAGGACCGGCAACAATTTGAACAGTTTGTGCTGGTCGATGAGGAGCTGGAGTGTTTTGGAGACCAGGAGGGTGCTGAAATGCTCCAAGGGGTTCAAGAACCAGTCTGTGCAGCTGCAGAGGAAGAGAAGACGGAGAACTTGCCCTGCCCTTCCAAGGCAGAAGTCATGGAGAGTCTGGCCACACTGAGGCGCTATTTTGAGTGCCACTCGGTATCCTCAACCGTCTTCCAGACCTTCTACAAGCTGGAGGATGTGGTTCATGGAATGTCTCTGGCTAATATGCAAGTATTGAGGGCAAAAGAATTGAACAAAGAAGGACTCTGAGCCGCAACCTCAAATGTAGCTCTCTTTGAATCTCATGTGTGGTCCTCTGAATCCACACAGTCATTTGGGGCATTGACTAATTAAAAAATCATCATCACCTGTACAACAGCCTTTGCCAAGTTTGTGCCCTCCATGATGTTTTGGACTACAACTCCCATCAGCCCCTGCCAGCATGGCAGGAATGGGGGGAGGTTGCTGCAGCGTGATCAGGTGGGCTTGGGAAGTAATGCTGGGAATGGTTTTTGGAAATCCCTTCCCCTGAGATAGCATAAAAGTGAGAATCAGTGCATTGCTTGCACGGCTGTGAATTTCTTCCAAGATATCCAGGATGGGAAATGTCTGGGGCTCTGGAACAGGTTTTTCTCTGTCCCCCAATCCAATTTAATTAACCTTTAAAGGCTTTTTAATTGTGGTCACTCTTCTAACTGAGCCAGTTCATTGACCTGGTTTTGGAAGATTTTTTCATTTAGTTCATTACCAACATTTTTATACTGCTGGATTGCGGTAAAATCTATAGACACTTTCCAATAACTATTATTTTATTACCAATTAAAAAAATTTAAAATTAAGAGTAAAAGGAAATGAAAGCATGGCAACATCCAAGATGTTTTCCACACCATCGTGGTAAGAGCCATTAGTCCTCCTGGTGTTGTTGGGCTTCATGATCCCTGATCTTCCTCATCATGCCGGTTGGGGCCAATGGGACCCTGGAGCCCCATATCTGGGGGGCAGCAGGCTCCGCCTCCCTGTGCTAAACCTTGTGATGTAGGAATACAACCTGTCTTTTAAAAGGGCTGGAAGAGATGCTCACTGACCTTTTTGTCAACAGTTTGGAAATATATAATAAAACAGATACTGTGACTGGGCTTAGAGTCTGTGCATTATGTCATTAGAAAGAATCCAGCAGTTTTATGTCACCATGGACAGCTCCTGTCCTGTATATTCATCACATTATTCTGAATGGTTCAGCCCAAATTATTGCATCTGAGTAATGGTGGCACCTTTAAGAGACTTCCTCAATTAAACTCAGCTGAGAAAGCCAGGCTCCTGCCATCAGTTCATCCAGCAACTACTATTTCTTTTCAGAACCTTCTCTCCATCATTGGTGGTTTCAGAATTGTGTGTGTATCTCCTTTCCCTGATCTGTAGGTTATAATAAACTATTATTTTAAACAGAAATCCAGCTGAACCCTTTTGGCATATAAATATAGTAAATGAGTAAGAGTGCACGCAGTTTAGCCTGTGGATGAGTGCAGTTGCCAGGCAGGCTGGTCCTCAAGGCTCAAGATCTGAGTTCAATCAAGTGCTGCCTTTGTCACATAATTCCTCATGTGGTCTTTGAGCGTTCAGTCTTGTGTGTGGGAAAAAAGACCACTCTTCTCTGCCTTGGTCACACCCCACCTGGAGACCTGTGTCCAGTTCTGGGCACTACAGTTTATGGAGCATATTGACAAGCTGGAAGGTGTGCAACTAAGATGATGAAGGGTCTTGCAACCAGGCCTTATGAGGAACAGTTGAAGGAGTTGGGGATGTTTAGCCTGGAGAAGAGCAGACTGAGAGGTGTTATGTAAGCCACCTTAAAAATCTGAAGGGCTGTCACATGGAATGGCAACAACAACAACAACAACAACAACAAATTATTATTTATACCCTGCCCATCTGGCTGGGTCTCCCCAGCCACCCTGGGTGGCTTCCAACAAAGTATTAAAATACAGTAGTCTGTTAAACATTAAAAGCTTCCCTAAAGAGGGCTGCCTTCAGATGTCTTCTAAAAGTCTGGTAGTTGTTCTTCTCTTTGACATCTGGTGGGAAGGCGTTCCACAGGGTGGATGCCACTACCGAGAAGGCCCTCTGCCTGGTTCCCGGTAACTTGGCTTCTCGCAGTGAGGGAACCGCCAGAAGGCCCTCAGTACTGGACCTCAGTGTCCGGGCAGAACGGTGGGGGTGGAGATGCTCCTTCAGGTATACTGGACCAAGGCCGTTTAGGGCTTGAAAGGTCAGCACCAACACTTTGAATTGTGCTTGGAAACGTACTGAGAGCCAATGTAGATCTTTCTGAAGACCAGTTTTATATGGTCTTGGCGGCCGCTCCCAGTCACCAGTCTAGCTGCCACATTCTGGATTAGTTGTAGTTTCCGACATGGAAGATGGAGCAAGCTTGTTTTCTGCTGTTCCAGAAGGTAGGACCCAAACTGATGTATTAAAATGACAAGAAAGAAGATTCTATCTGTACATTCAGAATAACTTTCTGACAGTGAGAGCCACTCGGCGGTGAAATGGACTACCTCAGAAGATGGCGGGACTCTCCTCCATTGGAAGTTTTTAAACAGAGTTTGGAGGGCCACCTGTCAGGGATTCTCTAGCTGTGACACAGACACTGCAGGGGGTTGGACTAGATGACCCCCTGGGTCCTTTCCAACTCTACAATTCTACAATCTATGACCATCCATAATAAAATGGTTTGTGATAAAAAAGTGTGATACACACAACCATTCGCAGTATAGAGTAAGCTTTATAATAAATAGGTAAGATGGATGATGGAGAAATTTGCCTAGCAGAACTTGGGCAGAATTAATTTGAATACTTTTGCAAGAAGAAAGTACTGTATGACTAAGGAAGACCTTCTGTAACCCCAACTTTGTTTCATCGTTTCATTTACTGCTTTATTGGAATAGATGAAGAGACTTGTAATAACTAATAGTTCATACTTCAGTTCTCTTGACCACTGATGTGGATAATAAGGAAGAATCCCAAACTGTTCCTCTCCAGATGACTTCAGCTCGGCTGCTCCTGCTCTGACAATTGCTATTTCATTCACATAAGTGGGAAGGGGTGGTCACAGGAGGCAGAGATTGCAAGGTGTGGTCCTGCAGATATCCTCCCACTGATGGGATTTGTACTAAAAAACAGGTGGGAGGCTCCAGATTGGTCCGAAATAAGCAGTATTGTCAACCAGAACCAAACCAGCCTTTTAAGTGCACTTGAGAAAAGGAATTATCATCCTCCCCTTGCTACCATGTGTGTTCCGTGTACAACAAATTGAAATGGTGGTTCCCCATTAAAGTGGGGATTAATTCACCCTGGTAAATTAAGAAGGAAAAAGCACACAGAAATTAGTAATTCACAAAAATTGCCATCCTGTTTTATACATATCTACGCAAGTTCACTTGGGGGAAACAGATGATCACATTTTAATAAAAAAAAACCACCCTCAACAACCCCAAAACAGGCTATAATCCCATAGAAACACAAAGTCCCCATAGAACTCAGTGGGATTTGCCTCCGTATAAACATGCACAGGATTTCACTGCAAACCTTTTTGATTTGCAAAAAGGTCACCCCACAGCAAGTACTGTAGACAGCTTTGTGCAAACTTGGGTTTAATTTGTGTCCAGCAATCTTGCCAATTCCAATAACTCTTTGGATAACACAGACCACAGCCAGCTCAGATATTTGATCACAACTCCACAGCAAAGCAGCTGCAGGATGGGTTTTATATAATCGCAGATTAAAAATCCAGGAACGTCCCTCTTCGACAAGGATGCAAATGATCAACTCCCAAATGGAACTTTAAAAGCTAATCAACTACAGTGTCCTTTTTAAAAGGAGAGGGGTTTTTTTAGCTATCAAACAACCTATTTAACTACTGTACTGGAATTTTAAGAACGTTAGGAGAGTGTACGATGTTGAAAACCAGATATTTCCCAACCCTAATCGCTGCCGAACCACTGCATTTCAAAGGACCTGTGTTCTCCTCCCATCAATTTTCAGTCCTGATCTGTGGCAATGTTTTGGTCTTAAAATGAAAAAGGAGAGCGAGGCTGCCCAATGTCGACTGGCAATGCACCAGAAACATGTCTCCCTTTCATTGGTTGTCTCCTTCTTGCCCTTTTCTTTCATGCAGCCTCTTTGCCACTTCATTCTGTTTGCTACCTATTCACTTGTATAGCATTCCTGTGGTGGCTCTTAATCAGTTCCTGTTCCCCTGCAAGGGAGCAGGGGTTTAGTTACTGGTTTTCTATTTTGCAGAGCAATTCTTCGTTAATGCTTTCAATGTTATTTGTTTAAAATAGTGAAGTAAAACATACATTAATAAGCAACTGCTGTGCCTGAAAAGAGGAAAGCGGTAATTTAAGCCCATACTCATCCTACCTCACAAAGCAGGGTTAGAGAATGGTGCTGAGAACACCAAGGTCGCAGGTTCCATCCCCAAATGGGACAGCTGCATATGCCTGCATTGCAGGGGGTTCGACTAGATGATCCTCAGGGTCCCTTCAACTCTAGAATTCTGTAATTCAGGCAGCCTTGTAAATAAGCCTACACAAGCTAGTAGCCTGATTACCACTTGGGTGAGTAGCTCAGTTGGATGTAAAGTCCTTCAACAACCTGCCACATTTCTGTGCTGTCCCTCATTCACCAGCCTGGCTGCACATTAAGTCGTAATCCCATGCACTCACCTAGAGGCAACTCTCACAGGGGAGGGCTTAAATACAACACTGAATTGAGGACTTGCTTCCGAGGAAACATTATTTAGGCAGTTGCCCATGGGAGCTGGCATTGCCCAATTTCTCAAGGAGAATACACTGCTATGCTAAAGTGTTGGGCGGGTTCACCCGCCTTAATTCCACATCCTGCTGATTCAGCAGTGTTAAAGGGCTCTGCCGTGGAAGCAACCTTTATCACTGGGGTGCCAACCTGAATAATATATGGGGGGGGCAGGTAACCCCCACCCCACATAACCAATCACATGATGCAGCACCCACCCACCATTTGAATGCCAATATTCATCAACTTTGCGGGGGCCGGGGCCCTGCAAATATTGTATTGGGGGAGGCAAAGGGACCTTGGTCCCTAGGAGTTGGCTCCTCTGCTCCTCTGCCTGTCCCTTGCAGCTGGCAGTGAGTGGCATACTTTTTCTGAATGATGGGGAAGGGTCATAGCTCAGCGACAGTGTGTCTCAGGATCACTTTCTGACTGAGAATGCACCCTGCTTGAAACCCGGGTGCACCGCTGGCAGACAATATTGAGTCAGATGGTCTGACTCTGTATACGACAGCTTCCTTTACTCCTACAGAGCTCCCAACCTTATCTATAAAATCTATCCAATAAGCTTTTGGGAGATCCATCTGAAAGCACCATTTCGCCTAGTGACTGTAGCCGCATCCTACGGGAGTGAATTCCTGTTCCTACTGCCAGCTTCATGGACAAATCCAACTCTGACAGGCTCAGCAGGAGAGTTATACTTCTCTCTCTCTCTCTCTCTCTCTCTCTCTCTCTCTCTCTTTCTCTGTCCTGGGCACTTTCCCACGTAGGACAGCTACCCAGAAGCCTTTGCAACAAGGACTCAAGGAATGCTGCATACTGTCCCACTAGATCCGGAGCTACAAAGAGTTCAAAGTTATTGCGGTTCCCTTGAATCCACGGGATAAGGAATCGAAGCAATCCCTTCGCTGAGGACAACTGATACAGGCTTGCAAGTTACACAGAAATCTTCCATGGACTAGACACTCAAAATAAGGGGGTGAGGATGGAAGATAAGAAATATAACTGCTTTTGTTGCAGCACCTATTTCAGCTCAAGCTGGAAACATACTTTGCCCCCTTGTTCTCCACCTCCCCCAACCTCATCGTATGGGCCAGAGGAAGATTTCTGTGTAGCTTCCACACACTAGTTGCTCCAAAGAAAGCCTTTGCTCACAAAGGCACCCTTAAAATGCACCACCAGGTTTCCTTCCAACACAAACAGGTTTCCCTCATGTGTGGCTCCTCCGGTGCATGGTGAGGTATTTTGCCTGGGTGAATTTCCTGCCACAATCGGAGCATGCAAAGGCCCTCTTCCCAGTTGCTGGGCCAGGCTGGGGCGCAGAGGGAGGCTTCTTGCTCGCGCCCGTCCCTCTGCCGATGGACTTAAACTCCGGCAGGGTCTTTGGGGGCTGAACGGGAAGAGGAGGGCCTTCCCCAAGGCTGGCTCCGCTCGGAAGGAGTCCAAATTTTGCCAGCTTCTCCTCGTGCGTCCTCAGGTGGGTCTGCATGATCTCCTCGTCCCGGAAGCGCTTCTCGCACCTGGGGCACGGGTAGGGCTTCTCCTTCACCTCGCGGGCCCTCTTGAGGGCCAGCGCCTTGGCGTCACCCGCCTGCAGGAGGTGCTGCTCCCCGCGGTGGACCCTCTGGTGGCTCTTAAGGTGCTGCAGCTGGCTGCAGGTCTTGCCGCACAGCAGGCAGCGGTAGGGGCGCTCGCCGGTGTGCATCCGGTTGTGGATGGTCAGGGTGGCCTGGTTGCGGAAGGTCTTCCCGCACTCCGCGCAGGCGTAGGGCCGCTCCCCGGTGTGCACCCGGAGGTGGCTGATGAGCGGCTGCTTCTGCGAGTAGCGCTTCCCGCACGTGGTGCACGAGAAGGGCTTCTCGCCCGTGTGGATGCGCTGGTGGCTCTCCACGTGGTGCTTCTGGCTGAAGCGCTTCCCGCACTGCTGGCAGGAGAAGGGGCGCTCCCCGACGTGCACTTTCATGTGGGCCACCAGGATCTGCTTGAGCCGGAAGCTGCGCCCGCACTCGGGGCAGGAGAAGGGCCGCTCGCTCGAGTGGGTCCCGTGGTGCTTGCGCAAGTCCTGCTTCTTGTTGAAGCTCTTTCCGCACTGGGCGCAGGTGTGGGGCTTCCTGGGGCCCAGGGTGGCCCCAAGTTGGCGCAGGAGCTGGAGCTTGGCCGTCAGGCACTTCCGCGCCTTGGGGCTGGCGTCGCCGGCCGCGGGGTCCTCCTTCTTGCGCAGGTGGGTCTTGATGTGCCGTTTCAGGTCCCCCCGCGAGGGGAAGCCCTTGGGGCACAGGTGGCACTTGAAGGGCCGCTCCCCGGTGTGCGTCCGGATGTGGATGACCATCGCCACGTTGCTCAGGAAGCTCTTGCCACACTCGGGGCACTCGGGGGGCTTCGTCTTCAGCGTCGACTTCGGGGGACCCTCGTCCTGTGCGCTCACCGCCCGGGTCACCGGCTTCTCCGTTCTGGATAGGTGGACCACCTTCTTCCTCTTGCACCGCCGGACAGGGACTGCCCCTCTGCCTTCGTCCTCGTCTTCCATCCTGATCCCATCTCCTGCAGGGAAGAAAGGGAAAGGGAGAGTCTCGCCATCACTGACTCAGGGAGAAACCCCACGTTCAGTCCCTGAGAAGATCTTCATTTGATCTTATGGGTCTTCGCTGCGGGATCACATTCACCCACTGCTATACCAGCTGCACTGGCTCCCGGTGGAGTACAGGATCAGATTCAAGGTGCTGGTTTTAACCTTTAAAGCCCTATACGGCCTAGGACCCTTGTACCTACGGGACCGCCTCTCCTGGTACGTCCCACGGAGGACCTTACGGTCTTCAAACAAAAACATCTTGGAGGTCCCAGGCCACAGGGAGGGAGGTTAGGCTGGCTTCAACCAGAGCCAGGGCTTTTTCGGCTGTGGCTCTGATCTGGTGGAACGCTCTGTCCCAAGAGACCAGGGCCCTGCGGGACTTGACATCTTTCCGCAGAGCCTGCAAGACGGAGCTGTTCCACCAGGCCTTTGGCCAAGGCACAGCCTGACCCCCTCCTTTGGCAATCCTCACAGAACTCTAGCCCAATGGCTGCCATTAATTTGATTGGAATTAATTTTAGAATGAAATGATTTTAGAATGTTTTATCATTTTACTGTTGTTAGCCGCTCTGAGCCCGGCTTCGGCTGGAGAGGACGGGATATAAATATATTATTATTATTATTATTATTATTATTATTATTATTATTATTATTACCGCATTATGAAAAAAGCTTTAATAAAATTGTGTTTTTAAAAAAGAACCGGCTACTGGAACAGAAAGCACCTTGGTGGCTTTCCCCACTGGAAGCAATATCTCTGAAAAAAACTAAATATGAGAAGTAATTGGGCAACATATAGAGAGCTGCTAACCGAAGTAAAACATCAGGTGAAATTGAAAGATTTTGAAGAGATAAGGGATTTATTAACCGACTGGCTACAGTTTCACCATCTAAATGATATCTTTAAGATAGATAGAAAGAAAGGTTTCAGCTATGAGACCTCAAGATTTGAAAAAGGCTTGTCAGAAAATATAAAATTACTGTCGGAAATGTATAGATTACTTTTGGAATGGCATACAAAGGATGAACAGGTTAAATCTGTACTGATACACTGGGCGAGGGGTTTGGGGCATAATATTCAGCTTTCAGACTGGGAAAGGTTATGGAAAATTGATTTGAAATTTTCGGCATGTTGTGGTGGCGCCCACCCTGCGGAGACAAGTGACTATTCAACCTTTAGAAGACATCTGAAGGCAGCCCTCTGTATGTTTTTATTTACGCTGGAAGCCTCCCAGATGGGCAGGGTACAAATAAGTATATTATTATCATTATCGCTAGGATGACTAGACTTGTGCCTCCTCTTCCAGGGAAGGCGCCATTCCGGCCTCCTTGCCTCTGGTCAGTTTAGCAGATTCCATTTTTCCTGTGAGGAAAAAAAGTTAAAATCCTCCCTCGGTGCCACAGCCTTTGTGGTTTCTCTCTGGCCTTCAGGTTATCTGTGTCTCCCTCAGGGACTTAAGGGGAGAGGAATCTGGTGAGGAATCTAAGGGGATCCGGGATCCTTCCTGTGGAGAAGTTTCTCCTCAGAATAGGCAGGGATGTGGGCAAAATGGGAGACCTAGGAGCGGTCCTCTAGCTGAGGCGTTTTCCCGCCTTTTTTCCTTCAGGGGAGCGTTTCCACGGCAACAGCCTCCAGAAGGCCGCAGCCAAATAAATGTAGAATGCCTAATTCCCTCAGGAGATTTTATTTCCCAATGGGAATTTGAAGTCACTTCATTTCATAAAAATTTATACACACTGGATCGTAAGGGGGGGGGGAAGCCCCAAAGCTTTTTACGCAAAAAGAAGGGTGGTAGTTGGAGGCATTTGGGACACGAGTTTCGCTTCGAAATAATCCGAAATAGACAGAATCGCCTCACGAGTCTGGGAGGAGTTTGGGAGGTCTGCCTCCAGGATGGATCGGGATGAGTCTACCGCGCGAAACTACGGCATAACTTCGAGGTAAAAACACTGATCTCTGTACTTATGGTTATGTCCGTATCCCAAGTTTCCCTCAGGGTGACAAACATGGCCGCCTCATGGCAAGGGCAGCCCTGCGAGGAGGTAGGCCAGGAGGAGAGACGGGGACCGGCTCCATTCCAGCGCTAGGGAGCTGGAGGAGGGGATTTGAACCCGGGTCCCAATCCTGGTTCACATCCCGAGATGCTGCCGGTCAGAGTCTGCGTTATCTGTGAGGCCAGTGCCATGTAGGCCTGACCGCAATACCAGTAAGGACCAGTTACGGGGGGGGGGACAAGGAAAGGCCTCTTTGCAAGGACCCCCAAGCCCCCCAAAAACCCCCAACTCACCCAGCCAGGGGCTCCGGGGTCTCTTCCATTTGGGGGTCTCGAGGGGCTCCTCCATGCAAGGCTCCTCTTCGCGCTCGATTTTGCAGATGACCTCGGGTTTGGCGGACGGGTGCCCTGTCGCGGGAGCAGAGGACAGCATCTTTATTTCCCCTTCATTTCTTGCAAGGATATTGCATCCTTTTCTCCAGGTGGCACACCTGGCCCCCTTGCTCCCCACAACAAGAAGCCTGCAAGGTACGCCAGGCTGAGAGGTGGCAAATGGCCCAAGGCCGCCTGGCGAGCCTTGCGGCCGAGTCGTGATTCGAACCCAGGTCTCCCAGGTTGCAGACCAACACTCTATTTTTTTTAAAAAATTAATTATATTTGCATTTCCAAAAACAGAAACAGAGAGCATATTTAGCCCCCATCCCACTTACAACTTCATACCAAATACAGAATATCTGCATATACCATATGACTTCCCTTCCACACTTTTCCTGGTTCCTTTTGCTTTTCTACTACTCTGCATAATCCACATCCTTTTCATCATCCAGTTTGTCATCTATTAACTACCGTATTTTTCACCCTATAGGACGCACTTTTTCCCCCTCCAAAAATAAAGGGGAAATGTGTGTGCATCCTATGGGGCGAATGCAGGCTTTCGCTGAAGCCTGGAGAGCGAGAGGGGTCAGTGCGCACAGACCCCTCTCGCTCTTCAGGCTTCAGGAAGCTCTCCGCAAGCCGTGAGCCCGGCGCGAAGTCGCGCAGCTCTCCCACGGCTTGCGGAGAGCTGCCTGCATCCCGAAGCCTGGGGCACGCTGAGCCGTGGGAGAGCTGCGCGACTTCAGGCAGATATCTGCAAGCCTGGGGAGACCGGCGTGACTTCCCGCCGGGCTCCCTAGGCTTGCGGATAGCAGCCTGTTGTGGGGGCTTCCCCCGCCCAAGCCCCGCGCCTGGGGGGGGAAATAATTCCCCCCCTTTATTTCCCCCCCAAAAAACTAAGTGTGCCCTATGGGCCGAAAAATATGGTACTGTATTTCAACTCTGCTGGATTTACACGAGACCTGCTAAGCTATGTCTTACACATGAATAAGACTGTGGTGTCTTTATTCCTTTAGGAGGGATTCAAGGGGTCTTACCGGGAAAATATTCGAACACAATGAGGACAAGCCAGATTGAATTGTGCATTGTCTTAAGAAACTCACACGGGTTTGCAACTAGTTTTCTGCTGTGTAAAGGGGAATGCACTCTGCTAAGTAAAGAAACTTGCTAATGCAAGTTAGGAAGGATATTAATAAACAATATATCCTCTCCTGTCACCCTGAACATTCCCACAAATCATACTAGCAACCTAAGGTTAGAAATAAGAGCATCCCTCTAGCATTCCTTTATAGGTACAGTGGTACCTCGTGTTACATATGCTTCAGGTTACGTACGCTTCAGGTGACACACGCCACTAACCCAGAAATAGTGCTTCAGGTTAAGAACTTTGCTTCAGGATAAGAACAGAAATCTGGCTCCAGCGGCGCAGGGACAGCAGGAGGCCCCATTAGCTAAAGTAGTGCTTCAGGTTAAGAACAGTTTCAGATTAAGAACAGATCTCCGGAACGAATTAAGTACATAACCCGAAGTACCACTGTATAAAAAAACCCAAAACCACTATTTTAAGACTACATTATAAAATAATAAAAACACATGTAAACTTCTTTGAGGTGTTCTTGTATACTGTGCCAGGACCTCTACAGAAGGCTATCCAGCAGCCTCCTCCTGGATGGACGGTCAAGTGAAGGAACCAGCTGTATCCACAGCATCTGGGGACATGTTTGGGGGAAACCTTACTGTCCCCTGGACTAGGACCTGGGAGACAAGGGTTCAAACCCCCACTCAGCCAAGAAGTTCACAGGGTGACCTCGGACCAGTCACTGCCTCTCAGCCTAACCTACCTCTCAGCATTGTTGTGGGAATTAGAGGAGGGGGAGAACCACGTACGCCACCTTGAGCAACTTGGGAGGGGAAAAGCAGGATAGAAATGTGTCAGGGAACTGCCATCGCAGCCAGGAGTGGAGGAAGGGCTCCCAAGCGATGCCGGAGAAGGGCCCAGCAGGGAGAGAGGGGAGTCATCGGCCGGGGAAGGAAATCAGCGTTACACCAGGGAGAAAGGCTGGCAGAGGCGGGCTTCGGAGAGAGGGCTCCAGGACTCTTCGCCAGAGACCAGCGGGGAGAGCACGGGTCCTCCGCTACCCACACCCACCCTGCGCGTAAGACTTCCACGCAGGGAGGCTAGGCGGAGACTATCTGTCAAGGAACTTTTATGTTGGAAGAAGTTCAGGAAACGCCCACTGATGGATTCTGCCAGTGACTGAGACAGATGCGAAATCAGGACTGTCCAGCCAGGGAAAGGTTTATCCAGGCAACCTCGCCGAGAGTGGCGGCAACTTACGCACGAGCAACCCCCAATTCCCATTACAAAATGCAATGAAATAAAATAGCAAATGGGGAGGGTTGCTGCTGCTGCAATCTGGTCCTGCATGCAGGCTTTCCATTGAGGCATCTGGCTCGGCCACCATGAAAACCGGATGGCAGACAAGATGTGCTCTCTTTGGCCTCATCTGGCAGCCATCTGATGCTCTTATGCAGGAACCAAGTTGGCGAAACGCTGGTCTAAAGTCAAACAAAAAGTTTCGGACTGGTGCTTGGTCTACAGTTTGCAGATTGCAAAATCTTACATCAGCCCCCACGTCAGTTCAACAAAGAGATCCTGTCCCCACAGCAAACCCTGCAAAGCCAGAATCATTTATCTGCTGTCTCCAGGCTCTCAGGAACATCAAAGGACACCCAAGCAGGGAATGAGAGAGATCCTTACCCAGCGAGGTGACCGCTTCATAGTTGTCCACCATCACGGCCCGGTAGAGGTCCTTCTGCCATTCTGCTAGCTCTGCCCACTCCGCCGAGGAGAAATAGACAGCCACGTCCTCAAACATGACCTGCGGCAACGAGAAAGGGAACCTGGGATGGAGTTCTGGACAGTTCCCACTGCTAGTGGGTGTGATGGTGACAGCCCTCACAGGCCTCATCCTGCCTCGCAGGGGATTGGGCTGGATGACTCTTGGGGTCCCTTCCAAGTCTGCAATTCTATGATTCCAGCTCTTATGAATTGAGGGCTCTCTCTGTGTTTGCTAGGGCCAGTCAAGAGAGAAGGATGGAAGATGGATGGGCTGGAAAGAAGGAAAGGCATCCATAGACAAAACAGAGCCACAGAGTATGGCCGGAGGTGCACATTTTGACTGCGGGGGTTGGATGAAATGAGCCTTGGGATGCCTTCCAGCTCTACACATCTATGAGCTGCTCCTATTAGACAGCAGACCCTCCCTTGCAGCCTTACACCTTCTTTCCCAGAAAGCACTTGCAATTCAAAACTGTAACTGGTTAAGAGATCAGAACCATTAACTCTACCCTAGAACAAAACATGGCTTGCAGTCAGTCTAAGCATCCAACTGCACAAGAAACCAAATCCTTAAAAACCTGATTCTCGGTTGTCAATAAGTCCTGATGGTTTCCATTGTTTTCCATTTGCTTATTTATTTGTATACTGCCCTCCATCTGTAGAGGACAGGTCAGTTCACAATACTAAAATACAAAATAAGGAATCCCCCTCCTAATTTGTTGTCAAATTATATATCCAATTGCCTTTCCATTTTTTTAAAAACCCTTCGTTTCAAATAGCAGAACTAGAGGATGGAGACATTGGCAATGCTTCATGACGTGCCACGGATGATATTGGAAGCAGAATCCCAGTCAAGTATTTCTATCCTCCCACAGCTCCAGCAAAGGGTCCACGAAACCTTCTTCCATGTTTCCGACACTGATCTGATCAACAGTATACCTTCCAAATTTAAAGGTATTAGGTGCCACCAAGAGAGAAACTGCTTTACTTCAAGTCAGCAGAGGCGGAATATTGTCTACCAAGGAAAGGATGGAGCTCTCTCCATAATCTCTCCTCCAATCTCATGCGTGCACAAAACCTTCTGTAATTAAAGTCCTCCATTTTCTCTAGCGGACATATTACAGTCGACATTTAAAAGTGGAGTTTGGTGCTACTTTAACCATTCAGGAAGGGCTTCCAGATTTATAGGCTCTCCCCGGGGGTATTACACTGCTGCAATTGTTGAATATCCAGCAAACACTTCGACTGCAACCATTTATAAAAGGGGGGAGCTCTCCTACCCCCCCCCCCCCGCATATATGACCACATATTCTCAATAAGCTGTGCTTTTCGCCAGATGGCATAATTACCTAGTTCCCCATTCCAATTTAATTGCTCAGGGTGGCTTAGATGATTGTCAGGAGGTTGCTGGACTTTGTTTTAATCTATATCTGTCCCAGATTTTTATAGCTGGATGGAGGATGGGGTGTCATTGTCCCAGGCTGCCTTTATTATTAGTCCAAGGTATTATTAGAAAAGACATGACGGCAATGTAAAATTTCTCTGTTCAAGCTGCAGTCAATAATAATAATAATAATAATAATAATAATAATAATAATAATAATAATAATAGACAACCACCTGCATGCTATCCAGGTGTCAAAAGGCAGTATATAACTGTTTCCATATGCA